CATATCTGGGTTTCATAGGTCTACGTGGGGAAAGGCTATACCTGGCAGAGAAGACTTACTTATTCTGCTTACTTTTAAGCAGCGAACTGTTAGTTACGGGTGTCGCTAAAAGTGCAGGTGACGATCACAGACATATTTGATATAAAACAGAAAAGTAACATACAAAATTTAAGGTTGTATAAAGCTAAATTCCGCACAGTGCATCGAATGCATATTTATAACTGAAATATTTTTCAATTGATTTTTGACACCCTCTTCGAGATACTGGGTATTGTAAATTCTGCTATATCTAACCTGTTAATATACATAATAAAGTTTATTGTTTTAAGACCCATATGCAAGATCTTTCCACTAATTGATGGATGAGTGTGCTTTGTATCGAATTAATTTAATTTACAACATGTGTTTAAAATATGACAGAGTATATTTGAGTATCGAAAAAATCATATCTTAAAAATTAATATTGATATGACGATTTGTGTTTTTGCAATTTTTAGAATAACCCTCTCTACTGCTAAAAGAAAAAAAGAATTGGGTTATATATGAGTATTTCTAATCCAAGAGTTTTCGGTCTGCTACAGTTTCATGGAAACAGTGAACTATATAAAGAAGAGGGATTACTATACAAAGTACAATATAAGGAAGAGGGATTTAAAATATGCTCTCTCTCTCTCTCTCTCTCTCTCTCTCTCTCTCTCTATCCATTTAATATACTTCCTGATGCTCTGTTTTTTCGAATATATTGCATTGGCATTTACGGCCCTCTGTCTTTCTTGTGTATGCCAAGAATGGAAACTCTCCACTTAAACGATAACTAGCTGTGTCCAACGACGGATGGGCAGGAGGAATTTATATGATTGGAAGGGATCAATATGTCAAAAGACAACTGTATGTGATTTTAGTAGGAGTATAGACACATCAATCCTCCTCTTGAGTGGTGTTTCTTCATGAGTCAGCGATAACTTGCAAGCCAGTAATTCATTATGTTGACCAGAGAGAGAGATGGGGGGGATTCTCCAAAGAGATCAAATTACGTTGGAAGCTCAGAAAAGGCATGAAAGATAATAGCAGTTTTTCATTGAGACCATGTAACGGTGTTGTAGGATTTTCCCGATAGCCAGCTTACCCCCCCCCCCCCCCCCCCGAATCGAATCTGTACTCTATAGTAGGACTTCCCCCCAAGGAGAATTCTCACACTAGAGCCAAATTTTACCCTCTTTCTTTCTCACTGTAGGATTTCCCCTATTTTATCAATGTTAAAATCATCTCGAAAATATTTTGTGTAGAGGTTTATATGAAAGTCAACAGATTTTTTAAATCGAAATATAAATGTTTTCGACTCAAGAATTGTTCAAATTTAGTATGAAATCTTTATATATAACGTCCAAATTATTAAGTCACAGCCCAATTTGGAAATTGTAAAATTAGCCACTCAAAAATGTCTCAACACCTCTCTTGGCGCAGCGGTACCTGTTTGTTCACGAATTTTAAAATATATATCAGGCCATCTTTAGGAATTTGATAATTTCTTTGCCATCACAGGCCCAGTGTTTTATCGATGGATCTGTGCTTTTTAAAAAGAGTGTGTGAAAATTCTAGAATTCATAATATGGATAGGTTCCTTATAACATTTTGTGAGTATTTGAATTAGTAGTTCTTCAAAACGCAATCAAGAGAGAGAGAGAGAGAGAGAGAGAGAGAGAGAGAGAGAGAGAGAGAACAAAATAAAACACATCAAATCAAGAAACACTGCTCTTGCAAGTCGTGGTAAACGTCCCCTTGACCCCAGAGGCGCGTAATTGGATTTGCAAGCAGAGAACAAATACTCTCTTCAAATTTGCAAACTAAATCTAAAATTTTTAGAAATTGACCCATTTTTAGTTCCATGACAACGGCAGCTATTTTGGATACTTATACCCCAGAAACTTGGAGAGAAATTATGTACATGTATAGTTTTAAATACATTTGGAGAAAAAATATCCATTTCAGCAACAATTCTTCCTTTTTGGCCACACTTTTAAAATTATCCAAACGATTACATTGTACTTTCTTTTATAAACCAGATGAAAAGAATAAAATTTTATTGCTTCAAAAGAATTGGTTGGGCAGTTACTTTGAAAAATGAGATTTAAAATTGGGGGGGGGGGGGGTGCATGGCTTTGGAGGAAATTGCGCTCTTTACTTTTAAAAAAGAAAAGGATTCCCCCTGCCCCCGACAAATTGAATCTAATGTTGGATTTCCGCCCGTGAAATCCTAACCTAGAGTCATTTTTACTTGGGGGATCCCACTACAGGGCCTATTTTCCAGAGAGATCCTACTTTAATAGAGCCAGTTTTCCGGTAGGGGAATATTTTAGAGGAAAAGCCTACTCTACAAGACCGGTATACTACCGGGTATACATCTAAATCATGTCAATTTGCCAGAGTGTATGCACAAAAATTAAATGCAGTTAGTAAAAAGTCACTATGAAAATATTACAGTTTGTTTAATACACTGCTTCATTAAAAATCAAATGCATTCATAAAAAAAAAGATGATGTGGAATGTATATTTGAAGGAGAAAAGAAAAAGAAAGAAATCTATTGAATTTCTACTGAATATCTACAATTAACCCTTTTAAGAATATTCACTAAACCATTAGTATGAGAGTAAAGAACTTTTCTCATAGAACATTAAATACTATAGTATTTTTTGTAATTTTACTGGTTTTACCAAATAGATATATTATAACACCATGTCTTACACTACTTGCTAAATTGTTGACAACAATTAATACATTTTTAAGGATCACTCAGCAGAATAGTCGACATAATTTTTTTGCAGACAATAACTTATTAATAAGCATAAATTGGATAAACATGTACAAAATATAAATAAAATGGTTAATGAAAATCGCTGTTTTAGAATGAATAAGAAATGAAGTACTGTTGCTCTTCTACACGGAGACGATTATTAATGACCACTCAGGTAAAGCCTGTATAATTCAATAAAATACCTTTACATGTTTGATTAAATAACTGACGTAATATCAACTCAGTTGGTTAAATTAATATCATTGCAGTTAATATTGTCTAGGAAAGTTTTATTTTTTTGTATACAGTGTATTGTTTTTGTTTTGTTTTTGGTAAGAGACCAGTAGAGCTTATGCAAGTAAGGTGTCCAGGTGTCTGTTTTCCGTCTAGCTGTCTGTCTGTCTGTCTGTCCGAAAACAATTTTTCAAAACGATACTCCTCCTACAGCGTTTTCCAATTTCAATAATATTTGGTACACCTGTAAATTATACTAAGATACATAATTCTGTACATTGTTTTTTTTTTATTTCAACAAAGGATGTTGCTAAGTTACTAAAAATAGTAAATCCTTCGAAAATCCAAACGCTACTCCTCCTATAGTTTTTGTTTAATTTCAGTGACTTGGTACACAAGTAAACACTGCACTAAGATAAATAATTCTTAATATCGATTTCTTATTTTGACAAACGGTGTTGTTGCCGTGGTTACTGTATAAATAGAAATTTCTTTGAAATTCTTTCAAAACTTAACTCTACTCATCCTATACAAGTTTTTGTCCAATTTCAATAAGACTTGGTACAACTTAATTTACAAGTACACTATACTAAGATACAATCCAATTACATGAAAGTTTAATAAAGTTAGAACTCACCAGTAAAGCTTCATTCTTGTCAAAGACATTTGGTTTTCGTTTGTTTGTTTATTGTTTGGTTTCTATTATTTCTCCACTTAGCAATATAGCTACAACGTACAAACTTGAACATAATTAAGCTGCTGCAATCATATTCTTTTGTACCCTGTCTTTCGCCCATTACCACCTAGTCAACGTTGGACAATGGTTTGTCTTGAAATTCAAAAAGTTGATAACCTAGAAATACGTTCACAGTCCCTTTTCCGCCTCTGTTATTAGTTGATCCACCCCTGTGTTTATGATTTCCCGCGAAAACAGGTGCACCTCAAGTGATTTCTTGAAAAATCTAATTCAAAGAACAACCAGTTGAAAACAGCTCTCAGATAGACAAACGTTGAGCCAGAAAAAACGATTGATTAATGATTGTTTTCAAATACTCGAATTTTTTTAAATATACGGAAAATGGTATTCCGCATGTATTGTTTTTCCGCTACTTAATAAACATCGACTTACAAGATGGCGGCCTCCATGGAACATAAATGTTGAACGTGAGAAACTTGTTCTTTCTTTTCAAAAGCACGATTTTTTTATACTAAATAAGTTTTTCTATACTGTCTGATGTATATTACTACGATTTGACAATGCTGGAATGCAATCATGCACTGCACTTTATAAATAACTGTCAGAGATGCAGTTGACAGTGTGTAACATATATTTGGAATGAATGAAACTGGGGAGCTAATGTGGAACCAAAAATGACCATGCATTAGTTTATTTTGATGTGTAATAAATATAAAGGCCTATTATTATATGTTTCTTATAAACTCTTATCGAATCAATGCTGTTTACAATGGTCAATATTGATATTTAGATTTACGTATGTAAACCAGAAGTAAGCTGTCATGCAAAAAGGCTATGAACGAACGGAGCTGATTTAATGCAGACTTTGTTGTATTTTTATGATGATTAAATACTGCATATCATTGTTACCTGATAGAGGATTTCTTACAAGTCAACTGGCATTGACAGCAATATATACATTATTGATATTCACCCCAAACTTGCAAGAGAAAAAGAAGAGAAAAGAAGAATTTTATGACACACCTTGAAAAACAGCATTGCTGCATGCAATGTGGTATAAAAAGTACTGACTTGAAGTGTTTTTTTTTTTTTTTGTTCAAGCAGACTTAATGATGAAGTAAATATGAAATCCATTGCAAGTAGTTATGAATGTTGTACATGAGAATTGGCCTCAAGGATTTCAGAAAATAACTTTATTTTGAAGAAATATTATCTTTAGTTCTGCTATTGCACCATCAGGTACCATACATGCTTTATGATCCAGAACTACTAAACACATTTTTTCACATTTTAGAATTTGTAACCCTAGAATGGCAACAAAAAGAGGTCACATAGACATTGATCCTGATTATGAAGATGTAACCCAGGCTCAGACAAAGAGACAGAAAGTTCTGGAAGAGGATGGTTTGTAGTTTGTATAGTGAAAGGAATAATATTTTATTTTGGTGCCATTGATTAGGATAATAACACAGAGATGAAGCCTAGATCTCCATAAAACAGACAATTATTTCCCATTTCAATTCATGAATAAGTACAGTTTAATCTATTGGTGGTATTTTTGTTGCAATTTTAAGGTAAATGTTCCTTCCTTTAATATTTTCTTTTTGCTTTTGCTGTAGCCAAGGAAACGACAAGGAAGAAAATTGACCTGATTGTGAGAAAAGAATTTCATCAGGAAATCAAGAACAAAGAAAAAGAGCTGGACTGCATTGACCAGGTACTAGAGTCAAGAAAAATGCGTATTTTTTAATAAACTAATTTTCTTTGTTAAAAATTACATTTTTGTAAGCTATTGCTTAAATTTAACTTTGTAAATGCTTGTTTAAAACTTAACAGGTATGAACCTTCAGTGGAGGTCAAGATACAATTTTTTCCCCACATTTTTTAGATAAGTCTTTTTTAAAGCTTTTTATTTGTATTTATTATTTTATGTGTTTTACATCGTTATCATTAATGATATCTGAAATGCATGATTGTTTATAACTAGATACTGCAGTTCATTTTATGAAGTCATCCGTGAAATTTGTTGTAAAAAGAGAAAAAAAAAAATCTTAGTAACTTGAATTGTTTTGAAATCTTTGTAGATATTATGAGTATTTAGTTTACTGTCAATACATTTCCATTTTTGTTTTGGTAGGAAAATTGTTGCAAACATACATGTACATGTCCTTACTTTCTGTTTGTTATCTTTGTAGAGTGTCCTTACTTTCTGTTTGATATCCTTGTAGAGTCTCTTTACTCTCTGTTTGTTATCCTTGTAGAGTCTCTTTACTTTCTGTTTGTTATCTTTGTAGAGTGTCTTTACTTCCTGTTTGTTATCCTTGTAGAGTGTCCTTACTTTCTGTTTGTTATCCTTGTAGAGTGTCCTTACTTTCTGTTTGTTTAATATACTTGTATAGTGTCTTTACTTTCTGTTTGTTATCCTTGTAGAGTGTCTTTATTTTCTGTTTGTTATCCTTATAATATCCTTACTTTCTGTTTGTTATCCTTGTAGAGTCTCTTTACTCTCTGTTTGTTATCCTTGTAGAGTTTAAGACATAGTCAGATGATGATGGATAGGCTGAGAGCGTGTATCATAGCTAATTACTATGGAGCAGCGGGTCAGCAGAGATATATCAAGGTAAACAATGTACAGTTGAACTTTGTATATCTCGAATACCAGGATTATGTTGAAGTGATTTGCAAGTCCCAACCACTTATGAAGTATTTTACCCTCAATATCTCGAATCCTCAGATATTTCGAAGTTTTTTCTCGGTCCCTTTGAGTTTGAGTTTGACTATATCTACACATGATCAGAAATTTACATAATGAATCTTGGAGAGCAGTGAAAACCTTTTAGATTTTGCATCAGAATGAAGGTCAATTTTAAAGAGAAATGTTTTACTGCATGTTTTGAGGATAAAATCTGTAATATTTGATAGACTTCTTAGTCTTCTGAAAGTTTTTAAAGGCTTTAAAAGATATCACAGACAGAAAGTGACGTTGAATTTACTTGCATTACCTTGTGTTTGTTATGTTTAACATTGATAAACTGAACCTTATTCTACTTACATGTAATTGTTTATAACAGGGTGATCCTCAGCAGACTGCACCCATACACCCAACAGTCAAGGATACCCTCGGAAAGCGACCACTTAATGTCAAGGTCAAAATGGAACCAAAAATAGAGGGAGACTCAGCAGAGAGACTGATTATGAAGCAGGAACCACAGGACGTGAAAGAGGTACATCGACTGCCTGTTGTATTATGTAGCATTACAATTATCAAGTGAGAATATGTTCAATTTATCAGTATTTGTCCTTCTGTCATGAAAAAAGTATGAAAGTAACTAGGTATCATGAAAATGAGCTTTTACTGATTTTTAGGTCACCTGAGTCAGACCTATTGCTATCCGTTCTCGTCCGTCGTCGTGCGTCGTGTGTTAACATTTGAACATTTTTAGCTTCTTCTCTGAAACCGCTCAACCAATTTCAACCAAATTTGGCATATAGCATCTATGGGTGAAGGGGAACAAGAATTGTGAATTTCATGGTCCCTGCCCCCCTGGGGCCTGAGGGATGGGGCTAAAACCACCAAAAATAATGCAATCTTTAAAAATCTTCTTCTTTACTCCAGAACATCAAGCAGTCAAACTGTTGGCATCATTCTAATAAGCATTGAGCCCTCTACCAAAATTGTGAAATTCATGGTTCCAGGGTCAGGGGTTCTGGCCCCAGGTGGGGCTATATAGATCATATAGTGAAAGTGCATTATTTCTTTGAAAATCTTCTTCTCTACTCCTGAGTATTAAATAAAGTAACTAAGTACATAGTTATGAAGAGCAAGAGTGCCTCTTCCAAAATTGTGAAATTCATGGCCCCAGGGTCAGGGGTTCTGGTGTAAGGGCGGGGCTCTATTGATTATATAGTGAAAATGCATTAATTCTTTGAAAATCTTCTTTTCTGCTCCTGGGAATTAAGTAAAGGAACTAAGTACATAGTTATGATGAGCAAGAGAGCCTCTTCCAAAATTGTGAAATTCATGGCTCCAGGGTCAGGGGTTCTGGCCCCAGGGTGGGGCTATATAGATCATATAGTGAAAATGCATTATTTCTTTGAAAATCTTCTTCTCTGCTCCTTGGTATTAAATAAAGTAACTAAGTACATAGTTATGAAGAGCAAGAGTGCCTCTTCCAAAATTGTGAAATTCATGGCCCCAGGGTCAGGGGTTCTGGTGTTAGGGTGGGGCTCTATTGATTATATAGTGAAAATGCATTAATTCTTTGAAAATCTTCTTTTCTGCTCCTGGGAATTAAGTAAAGGAACTAAGTACATAGTTATGATGAGCAAGAGAGCCTCTTCCAAAATTGTGAAATTCATGGTTCCAGGGTCAGGGGTTCTGGCCCCAGGGTGGGGCTATATAGATCATATAGTGAAAATGCATTATTTCTTTGAAAATCTTCTTCTCTGCTCCTTGGTATTAAATAAAGTAACTAAGTACATAGTTATGAAGAGCAAGAGTGCCTCTTCCAAAATTGTGAAATTCATGGCCCCAGGGTCAGGGGTTCTGGTGTTAGGGCGGGGCTCTATTGATTGTATAGTGAAAATGCATTAATTCTTTGAAAATCTTCTTTTCTGCTCCTGGGTATTAAATAAAGTAACTAAGTACACAGTTATGATGAGCAAGAGAGCCTCTTCCAAAATTGTGAAATTCATGGCCCCAGGGTCAAGGGTTCTCATGTTAGGGCGGCGCTCTATTGATTATATAGTGAAAATGCATTAATTCTTTGAAAATCTTCTTCTCTGCTCCTTGGTATTAAATAAAGTAACTAAGTACATAGTTATGAAGAGCAAGAGAGCCTCTTCCAAAATTGTGAAATTCATGGCCCCAGGGTCAGGGGTTCTGGTGTTAGGGTGGGGCTCTATTGATTATATAGTGAAAATGCATTAATTCTTTGAAAATCTTCTTTTCTGCTCCTGGGTATTTAATAAAGTAACTAAGTACATAGTTATGATGAGCAAGAGAGCCTCTTCCAAAATTGTGAAATTCATGGCCCCAGGGTCAGGGGTTCTGGTGTAAGGGCGGGGCTCTATTGATTATATAGTGAAAATGCATTAATTCTTTGAAAATCTTCTTCTCTGCTCCTGGGTATTATTTAAACAAACTAAGTGCATGATTATGATAGGCAAGGATGCCTCTTCCAAAATTTTTAAATATGTGGCCTCAGTTTTTGGGGTTCTTGAGGAAGGGGGGGGGTGCAATTGATTATATAGTGAAACAGCATTAATTCTATTAATTAATCATTAATTAATCCTGTCTGCTCCTTAGTGTTGAGCTGATAAATAAATTGCTTAGCTATGATGAAAATGGGAGCTTCGAACAGAAATTTTTAAATCTTGTAGTTCTAGGGTCAGGGGTTCTGGCATAACGAGGGGGGGGGGGGGGTGATAATATAGTGGAAAAGTGTTAATTCTTTGAAGTCCATAGTTATGATGATGAGGGTAACTCTTCCAAATTTGTAAATTTCTTGACCCTTGGTCTTGGGTTCTGGTGTTAGGGTAAGGCTTTGTTGAATCTGTAGTGAAAATGCATTGTACCTTTGAAATTCTTCTCTGCTTCTAGTTTAAATGATACAAGTAAGCGTATTTCTACCAGATTTTTGAACATCTGGACCATTTGTCTAAGCATTCTGGTCCTGGGCAAGGCTCTATTAATTTGTATTCTACTGGGAGAAGTTATTCCCCTTTTCCATTCACCTTTGATAATTAATCACTGTAAATAATGTATTTGAAAGGTCAATAGAATAAGATAATTATGCAAGAATGTTTATCATATAATTCAAAAAGTACTTTCTTAGTTTTAATAATCAGGTAGACCTGTAAGTAATAGATAAATAAAAATGAGACAAAAATAACTTATCTTATTAAAAGTTCTTCAAAGACCATAAGAGAGGTCAATAATGCTAGAGGTCTTAATATGGGGTTAAAAATAGTACAGAAGCACTAATAGTTTGTTAATAGTCTGCATGGTGATAGTGTTAAGAGGGGGACAGATTAGAACTTAATTTATGAGTTGATACTGAATACTAGACAAATTATTTTGTTGATCCTGATCTTCCTACTTCTCTTGCTTTAGGGCAACAAAGCTTCATCTATCAGTGTATTTAACTTTTAAATTGTTGTACTCAGGTGACCGTTAAGGCCCTTGGGCCTCTTGTTTAGAACAAATTCAATATTGATCTAATAAAAACACTTCACATATCCAGTAAATTTACTCTGTTTTAATATAACTATTCTCATGGTTATAAAAAAAACCCCACATGAGAAAGAATATGTAGTTTTGTCATGGTAAACATTGTCAAGTTCAGTATCTAGTTTAGGTTGTAAATGTTTACATAAATATTTAGAAAATTAAAATATTATTGGTTTTTCAAAAAAGGAGGACAAAATGATAAAGGAAGAGCCATCTGTTGGTGGAATAACAAATAGATCTGATCGATTCAAAGTTAAGAAGAGAATTGTGATTGGGAATGTGTCAAAGTAAGTGAAAATTCCTACTTTATTTAACAAAGGGGGAGTTTCGATAAGGCTGTTTTTCGGCCCCTCAAGAAATGTAATGAAATTGTGATATGTTGTAGATAAAAGTGTTATCTTCCTAAAAATATGAAAAAAAATTTATACTGCATATTTTCTGGTCACGTGATAATTAAAAATTTAAGTATAACCCTCTTCCCTATATATTTGGAGGGGTCATATTTAAAGGGGGTAATGGAGTTTATTTAACGTCAAAATCATAAATGAAATATTCCAAATGTGAATAAAGGCATCAAATAAACAATTTCAATATTTTTCTTTACAGAAAATTTATGATATTTATTTTATTTGAATGCGTTTTAAGGTGCAAGATTTTCCTTGTGTTTTAATTGTAACTCTTCTTTCAGAGAGGATGAATGTAACATATAAAACGTGTATGAATAATAGGGATGTGCGGTTTTATCGGTATACCGGTATATCGCGATTTTTTATTGCGTGATACGTATCGTGATACGGAGACTAAAATACCAGTATTTGATACATAAATCTAAATTCATGTATTTGTTCAAACTATTGAATGACAATTACAAGAATTGTAAAATATGTTGAAAACAGTTAATTAACAGAATCCAAACATGCATTATATTAAATAAATAAAACATTAAAACGTAAATTTATTTTTTATAGCATATTTTAAAGAAATATTACGGAAATTCATTTGAAATTGTAGTAAAAATGGTGTGTAAAAATATCACGATTTATCATGATATTTTTGGGAAAAAATCGTGATATATCACGATACGAAATTTTTGCCGATACCCATCCCTAATGAATAATAAAGACAGGAATTTTCAAAAAATGAATTAATCGACAGTTTATACTTAGTCTTAATGATCAATATATAACATTTTCCCATACGTAGAAAAGCAAATGTAAAGATATATAGACAAGAGATAGATAATCTTAAACTGTCATTGACAGGTGTTGGACACTGTTTGCAACACATTTTTGTCAACTAAAGTTATTGTGCTAAATATAGTATTAAAAATGTACCATAAAATCATTAAATTGAATTTTAAAAAAATTCTTGAAATTAATAGATTTCGGAATTCGATACGATTAAAAAATGCAGCTATTTATATTTTAAAAGTATATTTAAAAGAATCATAGTCTGCAATGTACATTGTATATAATAATACCAAGCGTATCACTACCAGTCAAAATATTTTATCAAGACAGTAATTATTAGTCCCATACTGGTGAAGCCGGAGGATTCTATAGGTTTCCTCATCGTCTGTCCGCCTGTTTGTCCGTCCGTCCCTCTGTCCATCTGTCAGTCTGTTTCACTTGGTTTTTCGCACTTTTCTCTAAACGCTTGCAGATATTGAGCTGGCTTTGGTATTTATAGTGTATCCTGATGAGAAACAGAGTTTGGAATTTGAGTTTGAAATTCTGCTTCATTGATTTTTGACAGAATATTACAAATTTAAAAAAAAAGGGGGGGGGGGTTCGGCGTTTTTTGTTTTGTTTTGTTTTTTCTAAAAAAAATATTGAGCTGATTTTTGTTTTGGTATATGTGCTAAACTTGAGTTATAGATCAAGTTTGCATTTTCTCCCGCTTCAATGATTTTTCAAAAAGGGCCTTTTCAATTTTTAATGGAAACCAGGTTATACTTGGTGTGCCGATAGTGGACTATTATAGCTAATGCTTACAGAATGCGTGAATAAATATTTCTTCAAGATAGGGATTATAGTTACATGAAAATGAGACATGCTCCAAAATATATACCCTGAGCATTCATCAAGAAAATGTAAGTCAGATCTAGCGTCTGAAGCAAGTCTGACAGTGTGCATCCGAAGATGCATCATGAAGCACGTCTTCTCAACAAGTGCTTATAGTTGCACTGCTCCATAAACATTAACCTGCTTTAAGAACATAACCTGGACATTCTTTAACTGAAAATGCAGCATCTGAAACACGACAGAAGATGACAAGAAAACACACTAGATCAGGCGACTCTGATGATATGAAAAAAATGATTAAAAAACTTTTAATAACCTGGAACGCCTATTACGATGGTATTACAAAAGCTCCCCCAACTTCGTGTAGGTGAGCTAAATATGTGACGTTATAGTTATACGCGGGCGACGAAATAAGTATGGAAATAAAGATAGGATACGATTATGTTTTCTTATGTTAATATTTTCGAGAGTTCTCTTTGGTTTAGAAAAAATATGCTACTTTTGGCTTTGTATTTTTACACAGCGTCATATCAAGTAACCAGGAGCTTCTAATTTTAGATATGCAAATTTTGGACAATTTTCAATTTTTGGATATGAAGTGCACACGTGACACTCATCATATTTTAAGATATTAGTGTGCAGAGTATATCTAATTACTGAAGAAAACTAGGTGAGTGTCCCTCATGCACTTCATATTCTAACCATCGATTTATAAATGCCACCCTCTTATATTTTCCCATTAGCCTAATGTTAAAGCATTTGAGGGTACATCTAAGAATGTGCCAACTACGGCGTGAATTCATCTCATATAAACTCTTGAAATATAAATACCAAAAATTAACATATATATCTTGAATTCTAAACCAATTTTTAAAAAATAAAAGGAAATTTATTTTTATGAAAATAAGTGGGCCGATAAGCGGCCTTATCGAAACTCCCCCTTTGTAGATGTAGATTTTCCCATCTTTTTAGTTTAAAGTTAAATAGGAATACAATTATTGTGTATTAAGCAGCATTTGGAATTTGGCAGGTATATTCCAGTGGACAGAAGAGATGAGAATGATCAATCAACTCACAAGTGGATGGTGTATGTAAGGGGCCCAAAAGGGGAGCCCAATATCGATCACTTTGTGAAAAAAGTCTGGTTTTTCTTACACCCCAGCTACAGACCTAATGACCTAGTTGAAGTGTCGTAAGTTATCAGAGTTCTTGCAATAAAGCATTTTTTTTCTTCTTGAATCTGGCTTGCTACGTGTAGTTTACTCAAATATACTCACTACTGCACCACTTAGTGAAAGATCTTGTGTCATTTCTATACAAGTACATGTATACAGTCATGTACTTTGAAAAGTCATATAGTGGGATAGATGTCTAGCCTGTCTATTTGTCTGTCAAATAAATTTCCATGTTGACATCATATTGATCTATGCCAAGCCAAGGATCTTTAAACCTAGTCAGTCTTTGCATCATACTGAAAGGTTGATGTAGCCTAGAAGGTAAATCATGTTGACTAATTTTAAGATATAAGCAGCATATAATGATGTTGACTCATGAGCAGTTATTTATTATTCATACAATATACATGCACAAGGAAATTCCACTTTCAATGTAGCTGTTTGTGAGCTATTAAAACAGTGTATTAAAGATTGGATTTAACCATTAAATTATCTTAAATACTTTATTTCAAACTCTACATCCAACATTTTCTTTCTATTTTTTTCATCCTTGACATCTGCAAGTAAAAATATACATATAATCATTATATCAATGTTATATCAGAAATGTGTCATGAGGATACAACATTGGGATGAAGAAAGTTGTAAGAATGTTTTTTTGCAAAGCAGAGGCCCTGTTTTAGTTAACGTATTTTGAGATTGTTACAAAATTGAATTTATGTCTTCTTCACACCCAGCAAGTTATGTTATAAATATATGCCTTTCAATAAGAATATTTTTTTTCAGACAACCACCATTCCATCTGACACGACGGGGCTGGGGAGAATTCCCTGTTCGAGTGCAGCTGTACTTTAAGGATTCAAGGAATAAGAAAGTAGATGTCATTCACCAGTTAAAGGTAAACACAGACCAATTTCATACCAGTTTTATTTGGTCACCTGAGTCACTCAGGTGACCTATTGCTATCTGTTTTCTTCCCTCGTCGTGCGGGCGTGCAGGTGTGTGTCGTGAGTAAACTTTTCACATTTTCGACTTCTTCTCAAGAACCACTGGGCCAATTTCCACCAAACTTGCCACAAACTATCCTTGGGTAAAGATGATTTAAGTTTGTTCAAATGAAGGGCTACGCCTTCTTCCAAGGGGAGATAATTAAGAATTAGTGAAAAATTAATGGTTTCTTTTAAAAATCTTCTTCTCAAGAACCACTGGACCAGGTAAGATGAAACTTATATGGAAACATCATCAGGTAGTGTAGACATAAGTTTGTTCAAATCATGACCCCCAGGGGTAGGGTGGGGCCACAATGGACGATCAAAGTTTTACAAAGAGATATGTAGGAAAAATCTTTATAAATCTTCTTCTCAGGAACAGCTAAGCCCTGATTGGTCATATTTATATGGAAGCATCCTCAGGTAGTGTAGATTCAAATTTGTTCAAATCCTGACCCCCAGGGGTAGGGCGGGGCCACAGTGGAGGATCAAAGTCTTACATAGGAATATATAGGAAAATTTCTTCTCAAGAACTGCAAAGCGATGATTAGTCATTTTGATATGATCAAAGTTTTACATAGAAATACATAGAAAAAATCTTTAAAACTTTTGTTCTCCAGAACCACTGGGCCAAGAAAAATGAAACTTATCTGGAAACATCCTCAGGTAGTGTAGATTCAAGTTTGTTCAAATCATGACCCCCATGGGTAGGGCAGGGCCACAATGGATGATCAAAGTTTTACATGGGAATAGATTGGAAAAATCTTCTTCTCCAGAACCACTGGGCCAAGAAAGATGAAATGTGGAAACATCTTCAGGTAGTGTAGATTCAAGTTTGTTAAAACCATGATCCCCAGCATCTTCGCTAGCCAAGGGTTTCTGGTACGCTACTCTCCTCATAAACCCTTGGCATACGGTGCTGAAAAAAAAACGGGATTGTTTTGTCACGTGATCATGATTCTTACCAGGTACGCACAGATTGCGTCATCGACAAAAATAAAAAGCGTATTTTTAAAAAAAAATTGTTTTTAAAGATAATTAACAAGAAGGTATTGAGTTATGTTAATTTGTTATTTAAACATGTAAAAATGCAAATCTAAACAGTATAGATTCTTAATCACATATTTTGCACGTTGCTTTAGAAATTGGATGACACCATATTGCTATTCATAGAATGGCATGTTATCTTACGGATCATTGTTTACTTGCGTTTTACATTACCGATATTAAAGAGTCAAGATATATCCCGAACGCAAATATCGTCATTTTCAAAAAACAATTGCTGATTGGTCGAACGATGTCGATCAACTCCAATCACAACTTGAGAAAAAAAATCCCAACTTTTTTAACACCGTATGCCAAGGGCTTATGAGGAGAGTAGCGTATCAGAAACCCTTGGCTAGCGAAGATGGATCCCCAGGGGTAGGATCTTCTATGGATTGTTGTTTTATACTCAGGTGACCGTTAAGGCCCTTGGGCCTCTTGTATACATATGCCAGGAGTTTTACTCGTAAGTAGTGTGATGAGAAGCAGCTATTTAGTCTGCCCTCCTATCAGTCTGTTTTGCTAAATACAGACCGATTTCGTACAAGTTTTAAATCTGTATGCTAGGAGTTTTACTCTTAAGTATTCTGATAAAAAAGCAGCTATTTAGTCTGTTCTCCTATCCTTGACTGGCTGTCCCAAGGTCAGATCTTCCTAAAATGAAAGTACTCAGACTTTGTACTTGTATTTATATTCTTTTACATTGGTATGTCTGCTATGGATCTAAGAGGAGAGCTGGGGTATGTAAGTTTGAAGTTTTTAATAAAAACAAATTTTTTGATAAATTTTAAGTGGTATATCTATCAAGCATTGAATCGGTAATAAGGTACATGTAGATACAGTTGATATCCATGCAAGTCAAGTGTAAAGGTTGATTTATGCAAGAAAAATTTTAGAAATTCAGCAATGTTGAAGGGAAAGACATTCATTCCTGACATATTCCTTCAGTGAGTTGAACATCTATGGAGATTGAAGTTTATTAATATATATAATTTTCGTTTACTCTTCAGAACAAAATCAGAAAACTAAAATGACAGCAGATTTCAGGTTTTGATATTTTTCTGATTGTTTATCTTCAGCTTGACAGAACTTACACTGGTCTGCAGACTCTTGGATCTGAAACGGTAATTAAATGGAATTTAAATGAAATACATAAATAAATTTGTACTTGCAGAAGTCTTTTCTCTTAAGACCTAGTCATATGAAAAATGCAAAAATATATTTGTGGCCATTAAATGCAAAAAAATATATGGTAATGATTTTATAAATTTAAATATTAACTCTTTTTCTTATTTCAGGTGATAGATGTTGAGCTGGAAAAGGAGATAGATATCAAATCTTCAAATAGAGTCACTTGTAATGGTTCTTCATCAACTTTGGTGGGGAAGGAGTCAAATGTAACAGTCAAGGAACATATATCCCCCGTCAAGAAAGAATTTAAACAAGAACCAATTTCACCGACATCAACTGAATCAAAAACACCCAATAAAAATCTCAGCAAATCAAAAAATATTTCTCCATTTTCTCCAAGCAGCAAGCAAACAAATATGACTTTGACTTTGGGAACTCTTGGATCCTTGACTTCTCATAGCATGAACAAATCTGGCACTGTTGAGGGAGGTCAGGGTAGAGGTCCCATTAATGGTTTAAAACAACAGTCTGTTCACAGCTCTACAAGTGACACAGATGGTCCTGGCTCCAAGAACTCCTCAGAATTACAGAAAATGCTTCTCCAAAGTACACCACCAAGTGTAACAAAGACTTCAGTATCCACGGGAAATGTTCAGTTGACACACATAGTTCAAGTCCCTAAAGGAGCACAGATAAGCAATACAAGTAATGTGAAGTCTGCCAACGCAGGAAAAGCAAATTCGCAGTCCGTAAAATCTCTACAAAATTCTAGTACTGGTGTCAGTTCACCAGGAATTCGCCCACCCTTAGCCAATCAAATTTCAGTGCCTTCCAGTCAAGCAACTCTTTCATCTGCTACCCCAGGGACAACAAGCCCAGCACAGACTCTGTACATAAGGTGCAAAGACAATCAGGGAAATATATTCCTTGTGCCTCATCATCTCTTAAAAAGTGTTCCTGGTACACCAGGTCAGCCAGTGAATAACCAGACAGCTAAAGGAACGATTCCAAGTCCTCAAACAACCCCCACCAAAGGCACTCCACAGACACTAGTTCATACACACAGCACAATAGCTGTGGTAAACACTCCCACAAGTACTGTTTCCTCTAGTCCATCAAAGACTCAAGCTTCCTCTGTAACAGTGAAGCCAGTTGGTCAAAACCAACAATCTACAGGAGGAAAACCTGTGTTTCAAAAACCTGCAGTGCAAAATTCTCAGTTGTTAATCAGGTCCACCATACCTGTATCAAAAAGCAATTTATCTCCTTTACCTGGTGCTCCAAGTCCAGTCCTCCTGATAAAAACTGAGGTCAATCCTGCGAGACCTTTGCTTACTGTTGGACAATCTACTACTAAAGTACTGGATAAAAACGGAAAAGAAGTGCCTCAACCAAGTCAGTTACAACTTCATTTACAGGGACAGATTTCCCAGAACCAGCTAAAAGTGACCAGTCAAGGGTTAAAGTCAGTGCAACCTGCTGGTAAGAGCAAAGTTAGCAAAAAAGTGGAAACATTAGCACTCATCCAAAAAACCGACTGCAATGTTGAGAACAAAATTCCTAGCAAGACATGTCAGTTAGCTTCCTTATTAAGAGGTGACATAGCAGCTGCTCATCGAAATGCTGTCAAACAAGTCTCATTGGTGACAGGATCAAACACACCTTCTACTCAGGTACTGACCAGTCAGAGCACCACGCATAATGTCCTAGTGCCAGTGACTGGAGGGTCTCCTAAAGATACCCCCACCTCAGGGGTAGGGATAAAACAAACCATAGTTAAAAACAGTGGAGATGCTTCAACTTCTGGAACCCAAGGGATTAAGCTAATACAGACTCCAGTTAATGTGCCACCACAAGCTATCCCAATTTCAGTGACCCCAAAAACTATGCATTCTGTTATTCTTATTAACGAAGACACCAAAAAAGTGCCTGGAATTCAACTTCCTTCCAAAACAATCAGTGGTAGTCTTTCTACACAGAAAAGTGAAAAGGTGATGCTCACATCAAGTGTGAAAACCACAGCTGCTAGAATGTCACCATCCACAAACTTAACTAATGCAACAGTGAATTTTACCAAACAGGTTTCAAAGACCAGTGATTTACCTACAGGACAGGTTTCAGGAGGTAAAGAACAAGTAAAGACAGTGATTGCTAAGATTGGGATGCAGACTCTGTTGCTGCAGCTTCCTGTATCAGATTCTGAGGCTGTAAACAAATCTCCGGAAGTGTCAAAAGTCAACAAGCCAGCTCCCAAAAAAGCTGAGATCCCCTCCAATGCAGCACTTATAGAAAGTCTCAAGAAACAAGCAGTAGAAAAAGAGGAGAAATTAAAGGAGGCAGCCAGGTTGTCATACATGGATAGGAAGCTCGGATTGCCCATAAAGATGGCAGATTCACAGGAGAAAAGAATTCACAAGTGGAAGAAAAAAACACCGGAGGAAAAATTACTAAGTTTCTCTAAGAAACTCCTTCAAGATGACCCATTACCAGTGAAAGATATTGATCCACTTTGGTTTGTATATTTCAAGGATTATTTTCCCCATGAGCTGTTTACTCTTTATAATATATATATATATTCTATCAGAATACATTTACATTGTACTTTTGTAAAATGTAATGTTGCTAAGAACAGTACATTCACTAAACAATTCTGAAATGGGTAATTTCTGCAGCCCATATTTTTTGTGATTTGATTCTCCATAGGTAGCATTATAACTTCTACATTTGCAATTTCATTCCAAGTTTAAAAAAAAAACCCATAGATTTACAATTTGAATATTTTGTGAATCTACTTTTGGCAATTTTGATGACATAACTGCAGCATTTTGCAAAAATTGGAAAACCACAAATTACCTGTTACACAGTATTTTAAATTTTAGATGCTTAAATTTAGATTTCTGTATTCTTTTCCTCTGTAGTATTGAAAATTACCCAGATGTTCAATCATTGGTCAGGGCAGCCATAAAGAGACACCCAATTGTCTCCCCTTCTGCCAGTAAGCTGTGTTTTATGTTTGTCTCTGATTGAATGATTAGTAATGTAACTTTTATATTGTGTTATTGCATTTATTTTGGAATAAACACTGATTTAAATGAATTTATGTTTCATCAGATAGCAAAATCTTGGATTTACATAATTCCAAAGTTGTTAACCATGATTTGTTCAACAAAAATTTATCTGCATAAGCCATTGGTAGGTCAGTCTACCTATATGGAAGAATGAGGCTTCTCTGTTGTTTGATAAATATTTGCTGGTGGGTGGAAGGTAACTATTAGTTCTGTACAGTTTGTTTTATTTTCAAACTTTCTGATATTGTAGATATTCATCAGCATCCATATTGTGCAAAAACATTGGAACAGTGGTTGGAATGGAATGTAGGCAAAAGGAGGGCATCAGAGGTCAGTATATTGGAAGCGTTTATGTACAGTCAAACCTTGAAATCTCAAACTCAATGGCACCGAGAAAATACTGAGAGATATCTGAGGATTCGAGATATCCAGGGTAAAATACTTACGGAATAAGCAGTTGGGACTTCCAAATCACTTTGACATACCTATGGTATTCGAGATATCAGTGTTTGAGATACTGATGTTCAACTGCATTGCTATTTCTTTAGTTTTTAGGTCACCTGAGTGACTCAGGTGACCTATTGCTATCCGTTCTCGTCCGTCGTCGTGCGTCGTGTGTTAACATTTGAACATTTTTAGCTTCTTCTCTGAAACCCCTTAACCAATTTCAACCAAATTTGGCATATAGCATCTATGGGTGAAGGGGAACAAAAATTGTGAATTTCATGGTCCCTGCCCCCCCTGGGGCCTGAGGGGTGGGGCTAAAACCACCAAAAATAATGCAATCTTTAAAAATCTTCTTCTTTACTCCAGGACATCAAGCAGTCAAACTGTTGGCATCGTTGTAACAAGCATGAAGCCCTCTACCAAAATTGTGAAATTCATGGCCCCAGGGTCAGGGGTTCTGGCCCCAGGTGGGGCTATATAGATCATATAGTGAAAGTGTATTGTTTCTTTGAAAATCTTCTTCTCTGCTCCTGGGTATTAAATAAAGTAACTTAGTAATAGTTATGAAGAGCAAGAGTGCCTCTTCCAAAATTGTGAAATTCATGACCCCAGGGTCAGGGGTTCTGGTGTTAGGGCAGGGCTCTATTGATTATATAGTGAAAATGCATTAATTCTTTGAAAATCTTCTTCTGTGCTCCTGGGTATTAAATAAAGTAACTAAGTACATAGTTATGATGAGCAAGAAGTCCTCTTCAGAAATTGTGAAATTCATGGCCCCTGGGTCAGGGGTTCTGACCCCAGGGTGGGGCTATATAGATCATATAGTGAAAGTGCATTATTTCTTTGAAAATCTTCTTCTCTGCTCCTGGGTATTAAATAAAGTAACTAAGTACAAAGTTATGAAGAGCAAGAGAGCCTCTTCCAAAAGTGTAAAATTCATGGCCCCAGGGTCAGGGGTTCTGGTGTTAGGGCGGGGCTCTATAGATTATATAGTGAAAAAGCATAAATTCTTTGAAAATCTTCTTCTCTGCCCCTGGGTATTAAATAAAGTAACTAAGTACATAGTTATGATGAGCAAAAGTGCCTTTTCAAAAATTTTGAATTTTATGGCTCGAGGGTCCGGGGTTCTGGTGTTAGGGCGGGGCTCTTTTGATTATATAGTGAAAATGTTTTGATTCTTTGAAAATCTTCTTCTCTGCTACTGGAGATTATTTAAACAAACTAAGTGCATGGTTTTGATGCATAAGGATGCCTTTTCCAAAATTGTGAATTTCATGGCCCCAGGATCAGGGATTCTGGTGTTAGGACAAGGCTTTATTGATTATATAGTGAAAATGCATTGATTCTTAGAAAATCTTCTCTGCTACTGGAGATTATTTAAACAAACTAAGTGCATGATTATGATAGGCAAGGATGCCTCTTCCAAAATTTTTAAATATGTGGCTTCAGTTTTTGGGGCTCTTGAGGAAGGGGGGGGGGGGGCTCTATTGATTATATAGTGAAAAAGCATTAATTCTATTAATTAATCATTAATTAATCCTGTCTGCTCCTTAGCGTTGAGCTGATAGATAAATTGCTTAGCTATGATGAAAATGGGAGCTTCGAACAGAATTTTTAAATCTTGTGGTCCTAGGGTCAGGGATTCTGGCATAACGAGGGGGGGGAGGGGGGCTTTTGATAATATAGTGGAAAAGTGTTAATTCTTTGAAGTCCATAGTTCTGATGATGAGGGTAACTCTTCCAAATTTGTAAATTTCTTGACCCTTGGTCTTGGGTTCTGGTGTTAGGGTAAGGCTTTGTTGAATCTGTAGTGAAAATGCATTGTACCTGTGAAATTCTTCTCTGCTTCTGGGCATATCGGAAGAAAACTGAGTAAAAGTTTAAATGATATAAGTAAGCGTATTTCTACCAGATTTTTGAACATCTGGACCATTTGTCTAAGCATTCTAGTCCTGGGCAGGGCTCTATTAATTTGTATTCTACTGAGAGAAGTTATTCCCCTTTTCCATTCACTTTTGATAATTAATCACTGTAAATAATGTATTTGAAAGGTAAATAGAATAAGATAATTATGCAAGAATGTTTATCATATAATTCAAAAAGTATTTTCTTAGTTTTAATAATCAGGTAGACCTGTAAGTAATAGATAAATAAAAATGAGACAAAAATAACTTATCTTATTAAAAGTTCTTCAAAGACCATAAAAGAGGTCAATGCTAGAGGTCTTAATATAGGTTTAAAAATAGTACAGAAGCACTAATAGTTTGTTAATTTAGTCTGCATGGTGATAGTGTTAAGTGGAGCACAGATTAGAACTTAGTTTATGAGTTGATACTGAATACTGGACTAATTATTTCGTTGATCCTGATCTTCCAACTTCTCTTGCTTTAGGGCAAAAAAGCTTCATCTGTCAGTGTATTTAACTTCTAAATTGTTGTATTATACTCAGGTGACCGTTAAGGCCCTTGGGCCTCTTGTTTTTTTATCCATCAGTGTACTGATTAATAATTAATCTCTTCCATTTCAAGTCTCAATTTTAATCAACACTCTTTAGTTGGATATTCTATGCTACTTGATTGTATGTAAGACTTCAAATAAAGTGTCTTTTGTGGTCCTTCTTAATCAAGCAACTGTTTCAAAATTAGAACTGGTTTTATGGAAAAGCACAAAGAAGGAAACAAATTTCTTCAACCTCTGAATTTCACGAATTCTCATCAATTCATAAGGAAATTTAAAGTGTATTTTACTTCAGAAAACACAGAGCACAAGCTTGGCCATCTGCCGAATGCCCTTGCAAAGGGTCTTAGTAGGATATGTCTGACTTTGAAGTCAAACCAATAAAGTCACCATTATTTTAGCACTTTTATAGATAATTTGAAGAAACTTTGGAACATACATGTCATTTTGCTGTTTCATGTATTTTTAGTGGCAGAGAGCAGTGGCATGTCAAAAATATTTAAAGAAATTATTGGATGGAGACCAGTTTAAAGGGAACCAGTTGTGGTCTGTGAAGAAGATTGTCTGCTGGTGTCGTCTGCATGCTTATAGCCCACATTACATGGGTAAGTGGATTTAATAAATACTTCATGTCATGTGGTTCAAACTAAACTTGTACAATATTTTTCATATTTACGTAGAAAAACTGCATATACATGTAACTTGTTTAGAAATAGAATTAAGTTATTCAATGAATAGTAGAGGGATACTTGCTATTTTCAGTATGTATGCAACTGAAATAATGCTTTAAATAAAATGAGTAAGAAAAAATTGCATGGTGACCTATGCAATACATCAAATTATAAAGAAAATTGTCATGGACCTCTTTTATATCTAATTTTTTTCAAATTTTTTATTTTTTATTTTAAGAAAACGATATATTGTCAATAGACTTCTTTGTTAAATTAATTAGGTTACAAGTGTATATCTTTATCTGTTACTTTGGAATACCTGTATATAAAGTAAATCACACTTATAATGAAGTGCCAGGGACATACTTATCTGGTACATGTAAGTTCACAATATGTTTTAAAACCACAGGGAATAAAAAATCTTCACTGTAAGGGTCAGTTCACTATAAGTGTGTTTGCTATAAGTGTGTTTTACTGTACACAGTTTCCTTGATTTGACTCTTTGTTAGGAAAATATCTTATGCTATTAATGTATTGGATACCTACCTTTTATTAAGTTTTTATATACAGGAACTGTAAATTATCAAATATTCACAACACCTTATTTTAGCAAGATGGGTATGTGGCATTTACATGTGTAAGTGACAAAAAATTTTCCACAAAAGCCAATTATTGTCCTATATAATCTTTACAAATAAAAATAAAGGCGAGTAGGGAAATTTTGTTAGGAGACAGTCTCGCATAATTACTGGAAAATAAAGTTCTCGTGAATAAAACACGATTTACAGTTTAAATTTATGGATTGTATACATGTAATGATATTTAATTAAACATTTCTATAGAGAAGACACTGCATCCAACAGGAGTGGAGTTTTCCATGAAGGAGGTGAGGTTGGGAGAGAGATTTAGCTCAGCAACAGACAATTGTGACATGATTGTGGAAGTGGAACAGATTAATAGTAAACTGAGAACAGAGAGTTTGTCAGAGGATGAGGTGGATATAGTGTCAAATGGTATGTGTAGAGATGCAGGTATCTCTTATATATCCTTTGTATGGGTAACCAGATACATGTAGTATGTATTGTAAAAACAGAATTGGGAGGTGCCAGTATAATAAGAGGCACTAAATATTAAGAAAAAGTTAATTAAAATATTTATGAAATCCTAGAAAAAATATCTAAGTTAAAAAAAAGAAAGAATAATATGCATGAACACTAAGATTTACATTATAGAAATTTAAAATATAGCTAAAAATACAATTTTTAGCTCACCTGAGCTGAAAGCTCAAGTGAACTTTTCTGATCACCCGTTGTCCGTCAGTCTGTCCGTTCATCCGTCTGTAAACTTTTCTCATTTTCAACTTCTTCTCAAGAACCACAGGGCCAATTTTAACCGAACTTGGTACAAAGCATCCTTGGATGAAGGGGAGTTTAAATTATTAAAATAAATGGCCAAGCCCTCTTCAAAGGGGAGATAATCAAGAAAAGACAAAAATTGGGTGGGGTCATTCAAAAATCTTCTTCTCAAGAACCACTGGACCAGAAAAGCTGAAACTTACGTGAAAGCATCCTTGGGTAGTGTAGATTCTAAATTGTTCAAATCATGACCCCCGGGGGTAGGATGGGGCCACTATAGGGAATCCAAGTTTTACATTGAAATATGTAGTAAAAATCTTTAAAAACCTTCTTCTCAAGAACCACTGGGCCAGAAAAGCTGAAACTTTTGTGGAAGCATCCTTGGGTAGTGTAGATTCTAAATTGTTCAAATCATGACCCCCGGGGTAGGGCGGGGCCACAATAGGGAATCCAAATTTTACATTGAAATATGTAGTAAAAACTTTCTTTTCAAGAACCACTGGGCCAGAAAAGCTGAAACTTAAGTGGAAGCATCCTGGGGTAGTGTAGATTCTAAATGTTCTAATCATGACCCATGGGGGTAGGGTGGGGCCAAATCAGTACTACAAAGGGGGGGAGGGGGAGAATCATGTGAAAAAAAGCAAGGCCAAAGTTACTCAGGTGAGTGTTGTGGCCAATGGGCCTCTTGTTTTTACAATTATCCTTGAATTGTTGACTTTAGAGCCCCCCAAACCAAAGATTAAAGAGGAGCCTCAGGAGGAGACTTTTGAGCCCCAGGATCCAGTCATTCTACCAGCTTCTGCAAATGCTCGCTTTGTTCAGGATCTGACTCAAAAGGTAACTCACTTTCTGGCTTGGAACTTCTAGGAATTTTGATTGTTGAACTGATTTCAAATTTTGTTCTGTTTTGAACTGTTCATTTACTGTTATTTTTAAATACCAATAATATGAACAATCTCTAAAATCTGCCTTAGTCAAAGACTTACATGAAGTTTTTCATGTTGTTATATGATATTATATTATTATGTTATGTGATGTATTGGCAGCTTGTTTTGATATATATATATATATATATATGTAGATTGTTCTGCAGTATATTTGAAGATTTGTTCTGTGATATATTGATAGATTGTTCTGTGATATATTGTAGATTGTTCTGTGATATATTGTAGATTGTTCTGTGACATATTGTAGATTGTTTTATGATATATTGATAGATTGTTCTGTGATATACTTGTAGATTATTCTGTGATATATTGTTCTGTAATATATTTGTAGATTGTTCTGTGATATATTGTAGATTGTTCTGTGATATATTGATATATTTTTCTGTGATGTGTTGACAGATTTTTTCTGTGATATATTGTAGATTGTTCTGTGATAGATTGTTCTGTGATATATTTGTTGATAGTTATGTGATATATTGATAGAGTGTTCTGTGATATATTTGAAGATTGTTCTATGATATATTGATAGATTGTTCTGTGATATATTGTAGATTGTTCTGTGATATATTGTAGATTGTTCTGTGACATATTGTAGATTGTTTTATGATATATTGATAGATTGTTTTGTGATATATTTGTAGATTGCTCTGTGATATATTGTAGATTGGTTGTGGTATATTTGTAGATTGTTCTGTGATATATTGATAAATTTTTCTGTGATAGATTGATAGATTGCTCTGTGATACATTGCAGATTGGTCATGGTATAGTTGAAGATTGTTCTGAGATATATTTGTTGATTGTTCTATGATATATTGTAGATTGGAGTTAAATTTGAACCTTCTCCTGTACTGGATGATGTTTATGGTTCAGTATCAGAGGATGTTGTTTATAAGGTACAGAATACAGATTACAGTATTATGGTCATTTAAAGATGATTGTCTTAAAATGTTTAGTTTGGTGTGTTTGTATTTTGTAAATGTTAAAATTTGTTTAACAGTATAAATCTTACAGTATAAATTGCTTGATTTATCAGAGTTATGACTAATGTTTATCTCAATTTTACAATGCAGGCAATGTTGTGCTTTGTTGAGGACATTATTACTGAGGCATTTGCTTTCAAGGTTAATATGGGCAGGTATGTAATTCAAGAGAGGTAACTCTCCAGCATTCATTGATAGTGTGCCCCTGTTAATCATACAAGGAACTCTATAGTTGTTGGCATAATAGAGAAAATAATTGTCTCGTAGAATGTTACCTTTTAGTGAATTTCTAAGCTTGAATTTTTAAAAACAGAATTATTGTTGAGCTTATATGTATATTTGAGGTTCTTTGGCCAGACCAGTTTGAATTGCAATATCTTTATAGTTATGAGCAACTTTATTGTAATTTGGAGAATTATTTAACATAGTTTAAACTTCTGAATCTTATCAAAATTTAAAATGTTTTTGCAGGTATCCTGATGGCATTGGGGTAGCAGATGTGTATAAGGCTCTGTCTGTTCTCCCACAAGCTGACTTCTTAACGAACAAACACCTGGGTGTCAAAGACATAACCAGGTGACACAGGTGGTAAATTGTCAAAATGTGTTAAAGAGATCTATAAGACATATCATTTATATACGTAAGCACCTATGAAATACTGAGCATGATTAAATTACTTCAATATGCCAGAGTCTGCATTAGATTGTTGCCCTGTAGTTACATTGTTGACTTGTTGTTACATTGAAATAGTAGATATTATTTATGGAGAGACCTCACAGCTTTCTGGGGTATTGTTTACTGTTTATCCATGAGTGATTTTCCACCAAAGAAAATTTTGATTTTAAATAAACAAAATTTCCTGACGTATGAATTTTCTGACAAGGGGGAAGAATTTATTGCTAATATTTCCTGTCAGCAGGGAACAGTTTTATGTTCACTCTGATGGAGGGATTTATTCATTGAACTACTGGAACTTCAACAATGATTTGTATCTTAGAGTACTACAGACTTTAATTAGGCCTTACTTTGTAATTTTTAGCCTCCCTAGAGTATAGCTAGTCTCAATGAGAAGGTACAACTCTTTGTCCTAGAAAAATAACAACTAGGTCACCTCAAGTGACCAGTATATGCAATGTTCAGTAGAGAAAGCATTAATAGAGGTCTAAAGCACTTACTAAGAAAGGTTGGTTATGACTTTAGGACAAGTTCATATTATTTCCACCCTAAGAATTTCTTTAGAAGAGGGGGTGCCAGTAGTGTAGAAGGTTCAAGCATTTTGCATTCTCTTCTGTCAGTGAATTGTTGTATGAAATTTTTATTAAAAAGTGATATTTATAATTAGTCTTACTTTTTATTTAAAACACAAAATGTGTGAAAAGGAAAGGAAAGGTTTGGTATGTTAAATGCAGTAGTCATCATGCCAGAGATTTATCCTGAACTTTTTTATTTGTGTTTCAAAGAAACTTATTCAAAATATTTTCATACTTCATATGCTGATATATATTTGTGAGAGATATTCAACTGCATATTTTTATTTTACCATGACCTCCCTTATGACCTTGACATTATATTATATTTTACATTTAGCTTATGCATATTGGCGAGAATCATTCAACTATGTTATTATTTTTTTTTTACTTTGACCTTACTATATTATTAGCTCACCTGAGCTGAAAGCTCAAGTGAGCTTTTCTGATCAGTTGTTGTCTGCATCTGACTGTCAATCTGTCCATCTGTCTGTAAACTTTTCACATTTTTAACTTCTTCTCAAGAAACATTGAACCAATTTTAACCAAAGTTGGTACAAAGCATTCATGGGTAATGGGGATTCTAAATTGTTAAAATGAAGGGCCAAGCCCTCTTTCAAGGGGAAATAATCAAGGAAAGGCAAAAATAGGATTGAGTCAAGGAAAGGCAAAATAGGGTGGAGTCATGAATGTGGAAGCATCTTCTGGTAGTGTAGATGATTCATACTTGTTCAAATTACAGCCTCTGTGTAAAGGGTGGGCCACAAAAAGCCAATCAAAATTTTTCACAGTAAATACATGTTTATTGGGGAAATTTTTTTAATGCAGAACAGCAAGGCCAAAGTGACTCAGGTGAGTGGTATGGCCCATGGGCCTCTTGTTTTGCATTTTTTGCTTAGTTTTAAAGAAATTATTCAAGATAACTATTCTACCGTGTCCAAAATGTAAGACCTTGACCTTACTTTTTTCATTATACGCCCCATTTGAAAATCAGGGGGTGTATAGTGATGTGGGTCTCAGTCCTTCCATCCATCTAGCTGTCTGTCCATTATGCTTAGGGGTAGACATCTCTTATCCACAACTGCTCTTATACCACTGAATAAAATTTAATAAGACTTTCCAAGAATCTCTGTTAGATAGTGCCATTGTGCACCGCCTATTTTACTTTTTGATCAGACATATTTAGGGCTTCCAATAGCAAAACATAGACACTGCCATTCTTTCTATAATATTGAGGGGTAGGTACCCATCTCTTTTATGCAACTCCTCCTATACCAATGAACAATACTCTCACAGAATCTTTATTACATAGTGCCATTGTGCACCTATTTTATTTTTTGATCAGACACTTATTTCGGGTCTCCCATAGCAAAACATGGACTTTGACATTATAAACATATGGGAGGCAGGGGGTATCATTTTTTGAGCTCAGTGCTCACAGTACTTCTAGTTTTGCATTCATCTTAGTTTCAAAGAGAATTTTAAAGTTATCTTTACTCGTGCACTGATAGATGTAGATATCGGTGAGAACTTACCAACTGTGTCCAACATTTTTTTTTACCTTGACCTTTCCTATGACCTTTGACATCACTATTTGTTTTGTATAAAACTCAGTTTCTAAGAAACTCTCCAAGATATTCTAATCAAACTTCTTACACAAATTGGTGAGAGCTATTCAACTGTGTAATAAGTTTTTGACCTGAACCTTCCCTGTGACTTCGACCTCAGTATTCTTTATCAACGCTTGTCTTAAACAAAGAAGCGGGTACATTTCTTTTCATGTTGCATCACTAATGAGCCCTGAGTGGGACATTTGTGTCCTATGAACATTGGTTATAATTGATGCAAATCTCTAAAATACATTGTATTAAGAAATTGTAGATTTTCTACGATGTTCAAATTTTTTGCTCTATGCAATCACCCTTATATTCATTTTTTATCACTTTATAAAACAAAATGGAGAAATTTGGAATGGAAAAATTAACTTTATGAAGCTAAACTTATTCATTTACTTAAATAAATATAGATTTGTTATTTTCAAGATTTTAGGGAATAAAAGTTTGCATCGCCTGTCCTTAATGAAATAAATTTTACTGATGCTAACATTCACATAAAAAAAGAATCTGCTGTGCTGGAAAACGGTTATAAAATTCATAATCCAAATGTTGTTTTCAATTTTAAAATATTATCTATGATGATTTTTATGAAATATAATTCTGAATTGAATCAAAGGAGCGTTCCCGTGACAGTGTATATTATAACACATTTTGTAAGGTGCGAATGTCGGGTTTAAAATTAAAGGTGAACATAGTGTCATGTAAATAATGCCCATCTCTGGAAAAATATGTCATGAAAATAGCCTTAAAGCTTGGAGAAATTTGCACCATGTTAAATAGAGGTGTTTATCAGTTCTGTTGTTGCTATGGTTAACTTTAGGATTTTACATGAAACTATAATGAAAGTATCTTATCTAGAAGTTTATGAATGTAAATAAAAAAGATAGGTGTCACATGAAATGGTCTTTTTTAAAAAATGAAATTAATTAAAATCATAGAACAATACTGCTACATGAATTATTATTAAAAGTACACTTTCCTATTACTAGTAAAAATAAACAAAAATGGCGTTTCATGTGGTGCCGTGAAAATATAGGAAGGAAAAAACTGAAATTGCCACTTCTGATACTACTAGTACTGCTGTTTACCTGATAGAGATTTTAAGATATTTCTATAAAACTGGCAAAATAACTTCTGATGAAAAATAGGTATGACTGACTATGGACGACGGTAGTATTAAGTCAACTAGCCTAAAAAAAACAAGACAGAACTGAATAATTTTTTTTAATATTTGAAATATAACAATCAAATAAGTATTTATAAATTCCAAAGAAATACATAGTAAAAAAAAAATTAATAACTGAACACATGTGCTAATTAAATTAAAGTAAACAGCTTAGGTAACTTTGTTTTATGGAAGCTGCACTTGTTAATTTAATTTTTTTTTTTACATTACATGTATAAAACTATGATTTTAAAAGTAATAATATAGTCCCAATTGATCATAACCCTCCCACCCCCACCCCCGCCCCTACCCCAAAAAAGAAATATAAGATAACTAAATAAACTATAAATAAATTACAATTTTTCTATCTTTAAATCTTAGCACTATAAAGCCATCGTGATTATTTTTCACACAGTTGAATGTATTGCTGTAACCCGAATTTTCTCAAATGATCAAGCTCTACTTTGCTTAATCCTGCAGAATACATTCATAAATTTTCCGAAGTCCATCTTTTTCTCCTCACCGGCCGCAGCTTTGATGAACACTTCCAACTCGGCGTCCTCAGTGAGATTGCCGTTCGTGTTTTTTACTGTTTTTAATATATCCCAGGTTTTTTCAAAATCTAAACCAGCGTCCTCAGACTTTAGTTTTTCAAATGTCTGGAATAGTTCAGGAGCACTAGAAAATAAAATAAAAAAAATTAGTCTTTATATTTTCTATAGCAATTATTAACTGAGAGTTTTATGAATGAAATCTTTTGCACGAAATAAAAAAAAAATCAAACCCCACTTTCTCATAATTACAAGAAAAGATCCGAGGGAAAATCTGGTAACTACAAGAAAAAATCTCGTTATTACGAAAAAATTATCTCGTAATTACGAGAAAATATCTCAAAATTGTGATAGTTATCTCATAATTACGAGAAAATTATGTAATTATGAGATAATTATCTCGGAGTTACGTTAAAATGTATATGGAACAGATCTAGAGCTGCATAAGCTATGAATAGTCTTGATGCGTTTGGTCTGGTAAACGGGAAAATGTACCAGGTGAATAATTTTATTAAAAATTTGTTATCGCTTAAGTTATGATTTCAGTGTAAAGATAGTCAGCAGATTTCAATATATATTCAGAGAATAAAGAATATTTCAAAATTGAAGGAATAATTTACTTCTTTAAAAATTTATTTTGTAATCACAGGCATGTAGTATCGGGGGGTAGCTCCCTCTTTTCCGAACCTAATCTTAACCTGTTAATTTAATATGAAAATGTTCATTTAAAGGCCGGTTGATCCCTCACATTCTATTGTAGTATAGTCAAAAACCTCCCATATTGATGGATGATGTATTAAAACAGAATCTGATAAAAAGTTGAACACCCCCTCCCTCCCCAATAGAATTTTTCTAGGGGAGATGAGAGATTTCAGAGTAAAGAGAGGGGGTGGGATAGAATGATAAATCTTTTAAGATATTCTAGACCGCCTTAAGAAGTTTCTACGTTCTTAAGAAAGTATTTTAATTGCAAAATTTAGCAAAGTAGACATGCATTTTTGGTAAGTGCTTAAATCATGGTCTCTCTTATGTACATTTCAGTTTTTTGTTTGTTTTTGGACATGGAGTCGATAAACGTTCACTTGGTTTATTTTCAACAAATAGTACATGGTCTTTCCTTTGGTGTTTGAAAAAAATGGTTTGACACATGCTGCGTAAATAGAGGATATTCAATGTTATGTAGCTGGATATGGAATTTATTTCACGAATGGGACAGAATATTTTGATATTTTCAGGAGTGCGAAGCACGAGTGAAATATAAAAATATCCTGTCTCACGAGTGAAATAAATTCCATATTCAACAACAAAATATTGAATTTTCTGTTTATTACATTTTATTTGATTTTCCCTTTACCTCTGTCTCTTCTTAATTTCACAGTGTTATAAGCTGTGGCGTCATAGTTGAGCAGTTGCTCAAGACGTTATACATGTATATAGCTTAGCAGTTGTGAGATTGAAAACATTGTAACATGGATTTTAGCAACATATTTGTGAAGAAATTGGCAGTTTTAGTCTCATTCAGGATGGTTTAGTTACTTTCTCAGTCTTATTACAGGCCAAAATTTATATTTTACATACTAGTACTTTGATATCCTTTCACACTGTGACAGAATATCAGTTTGTCTTAATAAAGGCAAATTTTTCTTTCACATTGTGAGAGAATATCACTTTTATTCAGTGAATAAATCAAAGCCTTTCACTGTTGAAAATGTAATAAATATAGAAAAATGGAAACTAAGATTATCGTGGTCTTCGGAATGACTGAAACATGCATGACTGAAGTAGATCGTGAGGGTAGAGGTTCCCTACCCCCGGGAAGAACAGTTTAAAATTTCAAATGTTATTGTTATCTAGACCTAAAGCATTAAGTCTTTGTTCGTGCCTTTCAAAGTACATAAAGTGCATATATAATTTAAAATAACATTTATTTAAAAAAAAAAGCGAAAAAACATATAGAGAAATATCACTTAACTATTTATGAATATATTATCTCGTAACTACAAGATAATTTGCCGTAATTCCGAGATAATTTTCTCGTAATTACGAAATCTTTTCCCGTAATTACGAGATCTTTTCTCGTAAAAACGAGAGAATTTTCTCGTAAATTATATATACTAAATAGTGGGGTGTTATTCTTTATATTTGATACTTATAGGCTTTCGTATGTGCCAAATTTTGTGATATTAAAATCTTCATGTTTAAAGGTGCGGTCACATGATGAGAATTTCAAACCATTACTTTTGACACTCGCGCTATATTTGCGTTGAGGATATTATGGTGAAGCACGCCAATACAGCATGCATTGTGCAATTTTATTGCTTACAAATACTTACATGTATATCCTGGTGATAAAGTATAATGTGCATATAGGTCGTAAAATATAGGCATCGAAACTGAATATTTTTCAATGTGATTACATAATATCCAGGTGTCATATAAAGTACGGAAGTTAATGAAATGGCCTTCAACACGCTAAAAGCCTACCATACACCCACATAAATAAGTCACCGACTCCCCTATTTTTTGTACAATACTGTGTATTGTTTGTGTACTTTGGCACTTACATCATGCTCATTGATCAACCAGGAACATTTGGTATAAAGTACTTCTCTGTGTATCTGTTTTACATTTTCGCTCGATTCTTTATTATTATTTTTTTTAAAAAGTTGGTTAATACTGTAAAATATTTATTTATAAAGATATGGCAGTCGAAAATGACGTTTTTCTATAAAAACCTTGTTTCCTGAACTCATCTTACTTTTTATACAGTAGCCAATATAATTGGTGGTATCCTGTGCAATAAGGTTTTAATTTTTATGATTATGATCTACGACTACAAATACCGTAAAACATGTAAATATATATTGCATACTTTAATATGTAGTATATGCACGTGTTTTAAAAGAAATAAGGGTGGGTTACTAAGCACTTATAGTCTTTTATTTTTTATTAATGCAGTAATGACTTTGTTTCCTGTAGACTTACTGCTCTCCCAGATTGGTGTAAAACTGTTTGAACTCCCACTGACTAAGTTGTCCGTTCTTGTCGATATCGTAGATTTCAAACATAGTTTCTGCCTGTTTTTCATTCAGATTGAAGTCGGAGGTAAACATCCTAATGGCATCCTCTCGTTTCAGTCTCATGACAAAGTTGTGACAATATTTATCAAATATTTTCTGCGCCTCTGGCCTGCAAAAATAACACGTACATAAAGAGCAACGTATTATCATCTCCTGTTGGTGTAGGGTATATATGTTGTTTGAATTTCATTAAAATATTTTGAATATTTTTTTCAGATTTTAATCTCTCGGCAAAAGTTTGTTTTACGCTGTCATATACCTCTGACCTGGTAATGCCAAACATAAAAAACGTTTCCAAATTATGGACATTTTTCAGATTTGTTACATTTTACCAACGGCATTTCTCTCTCTCTCTCTAACACACACACACACATATATATATAAAACTGAGACTGAGATACTGAAGGGTATTGAGGAACATAAATTCGACACTAGATACTTAGATGAAAATCCATTAAAATATACTCGGACAATATCTGTACACATATATGTTCAGCTTAGTGGTGGACATAACCTACTAATCGGTTTCAGTGTACAAATATTTCCTAGTGGGCTATACATAGGAAACTGGTCTTGACCTTAATTGACATTGTCAGCCAGATCACTTTTGATGGCTTATTTTAACATGGTAACTAAAACCTGTAGCTTCTTGGAGATTTAAGTAAAAGTGAAACGTGTGTTATTGTTTGATTTTTCGTATGGCTAGTTTCTCGAAATTTGGGAAACGAAAACTAGCCTCAACAATTTTGTAATTCACTTTGATTATTTTCTCGCCAAGTTGACACTGCAGGGGTTGATGAAACTAATCGACTACAAGGTGACGGTTTACCACGGGTATACCTGACAAGTCTGTTAAAATGTCCCTTAATTATATCACGCACACTTTACAAGGAGACTCATAATGCTTGTTTTGCACATAAGATGATTAATTACATATGACTTTACGTTTTAAATGATATAAAGACGACATATAAATTTTAATATTTTACCTTCTACATTCCATACAATTATTAATCAAACGACATTTTCACGTAAAATATATTAAATAATCCTATAAGGCAAAAGCGGATAGTTTCACTTAATGTAGACTGTTTCTATTAAAAAAAAAAAAAACAAAAAAAAAAAAAACAAAAAAACAAAAAAAAAAAAACAAAACAAAACAAAACAAAAAACCGTAATGCAAAGGAGAATTTAACCATGCCTTTGACTGTTCAAGTTTATAAGAAAAAAAAAAATAAAAATGTGATTAAGTAATTATATGCATATTTTCTGTTTGTCTTATCAAGTTTCGCTTTGTAACTGATAAGTAAGATGCATTCATGTTCATCAGTTATAATCTATACTGAACTAAATCAACAATATACAGGTAATGTCTAACTTTGCCTTAAATGAAAAATATAAATCAATAATGATGAATGCGTCGAACACATGATTAATGCACATTTAGTGTAGATACCGTGATATATTAAAAATAAATTTATATTTAACATTCACATATGGCGACAGTCAGTATTTAGATGGTCTTAAAATGGATTAAAAAATATTGCCACCTAATCCTTTTGCGATAGAAGGATCTTTAATAAGTATATGGTGTGAGGATTAATCTAGTGTCATCAATAACATATTCACTAAGTCAGGTAAATGTGTAAGGGGAATATTTTTTTAAAACCTGGAATGGATATTTAATCACAAACAAATTATATACAAAACTATACTTACGGAAGCTTTCGACATGCCATGTTTTTCTTCTAGAATCCTGTAAGACTATTTCTTATTTATCTATCAACGTATTTTAATCAACCACTTTAGGACAAAATGTTTATATTTGCCATTAAAGGTAAGGGCAGCTTTGCGCATGCGTGCGTGACGGGGATGCCCTGATCGGTTGAGTCACCGTGGTCACTGCATTTTTTCCATTTTTGTTCGCGGTCCATGGTGACATATTTTACTATTAATATCAAAATAACAATGCCTGTTTGATATTAGTTTATGCCACAAAAACAGAAAATTAAAACTTGATTGTTATCGCACAAAGGACCCTGCTATTTAATCGCCCACATTCTACAGTCACCTTTAGCGAAGTGTCAAGATTTTATCTCAGAATTTCGACAGTGACCTAAAACAATTTTAATGGTTCTGTACCAAAAACAGCTTTCAAACATACTCAGTGCTGTGTTTATATGAATGGGAAAGATTATGAATTAGAAAAAAAATCACTGAAAGATTAGTGAGTGCAACAGTAAAAATATTTAACATTTTACGATCTTTAGTATGAGTCCACCTACAAGTATTTCCCTAAACTCGTTGCAGTTTTCTTTTTAACTTAAAGATCAGAGTATCTGTGTATAAGTCTTTTGTATAAACTAGAGTAATCTTTAGAGTATAAGACTACAATTTACTAATGATGTTTAGAATTGATAAAATTCGCAAAATCACATTCTTCCTATTGGTTTGTACTTTTCCATTAAAATATTGAATTATTATTTTTAAATAAATAAATTTTATATATATATATATATATATATGAAATCTTAACGAGAGGTCCATGGGCCTTGACGGTCACCTGAGTATTATTATTTTCTCTACCTGTGGCCGCCTTGACCCATCAGGAACTAGAACTCTGGACTCATGTTACAAAAACTTAACAGTGAGGACCCTTTAATTATTATCATATTCCTGCAGCTTATCCTAGAAGTTCATCGGGAGAAAGGACATAAGGTACACTGCAAATTGACCAACTTAGCCCCAGCCTGAGGCCTGACACCCCAAACCAGGGGATATGAATTAAATTACACTTTTTGTAGAGGGCTAGCTGTTTATTATAAATATGCAAACAATTTGCCTGCTAGATGTCCATGAGTAACGAAGAATGTTTTCAACGATGTAATGCAATATATAGCCAACTTAGCCCTACCCTAGAGCCTGAACCATGGGCATGGGTCCATTTTAAGCTCACCTCAATGAAGTCGGGGGAGCTTATGAAATACCCTAGGCTTCGGTATCGGCGTCGCAGTTTTGGAGCATATTTCTTTAAAAAAAAAAAACGCACTGGTAAACCCTTGGTAATGTACCCTGTTTTTCCGTCTGCGAACTTTTAATGGTACTATGATTTTAAAATAAGAATATCTTGAAAAATTATAAGTAGGTATGTACATTGTAAGTCTGTGTACACCTGCATATGTACGTTGCGTATGTCCTTAATGCCCATGAGTATAAAAATTATCAAAGGTGTAAAATATTTTCACTATATATGATCAAATTAGGCCCACCCTAGAGCTTGAAGCATAGATCTGACGACCAAGAATATCACAATTTTGGAAGAGCACTAAGTATTGATTGATTAATCATGGAGATAGTTGCTGCCTATGGTCCGTCAGTAGAGAATTGAGATTTTCAAAGATGTAATGTATTTTCACTCTATCTCTCTCTCTATATATATATTCAACTAAGCCATTCATATATAGGATATGAACCCAGGGACCATGAATTTCACGATTTTGGTAAAAGGTTGAGTAATCATTATAATCATGCAAATAGTATGCCTGCAAGGTGCCCTTCAGTAAAGGACTTTTTAGAAGATATGTATAATGCATTTTAAATACATTACCAAATTTGCAAAAACCCTGGAGCCGGAACCCCAGACCCAGGGACCACAAATTTCACAATTTTGTATAGGGATCATGGCTCATTTATTATATTTATGCTAACAACTTGTTTGCTTGATGTGCAGAATCAAAGATTTTTTTTTTTTTTAGAAAATTGCATTAATTTTGATGATTGTCTTACCCATAGGCCCCAGGGGGATGGAGACCATGTAATGCACATAATAAAAAAAAGTATGCTTACATTTACAGTGGAAAAAATTGGATTAAATATTTTTGAACATGTTAGATTATTAAGAGTGACTTGTAAAAGGCATTTCTGTTGCAGAGAAGGGGAGAGAGTCTATCTCTTACACGATATGCTATCTGAAGGAGAAGTGGTTTCCACATTTATTTCTCTTTTCCTTTGAGGGATGGGTGAGTGGTTTTGAAGTGCTTTTAGTCAGTTTCTGATGTGTATTGAAAAGACCCCGGTCTGTGTGATACACAATCCTTAATTCATGAATGTATATGTGTAGGAAACATTTTCTTCATAATTTAACTAAATTATTTGTGATTTTATTCACACAGCTTTAACGTTTCAGGAAAGCCGCAATTCTGCATTTAATGCTTGGCAAGAAAACACATCCGCAGTAGCTTTGGCCTGAACTCAATAAAAATGCAGTTTACACTGATCACTGAAATACCCCTGAGAGTGATTCGAGACAACCTTGAGAGGTGGATCTAAAGTTCTTCAGCTTTCCTTGTTGACGTCGAAAACTTCTGAATATTATTAAATATATTCAAGTTTTCATTATCAGGTTTTTCTTCTTAAAATGCATGTTTGAAATTAAATTCATGATAGTAGGAAGCATTTAATTCAACCTACACAAATACTTATTTTAATTTTGTACCCATTATTTCAGGTGAAATATGATTACGAACAATATTCACTCTCGAAAGTCCAATGAAACGATACAAATTTGGAGCAGAGCAAACACGGACCTCAAAATTTAGAGGTGGGATCAGGTGCCATGGGGGAGTGAGCATCCCCTGCCGACCGGTCACACCCGCCGTGTGCTAGTTGTCATGATCGGAAAAAAAACCGGAAAAATCTGTAGACGTTTCAGTGTATAAATACTGGCCTAACAATTAGTACGAAAAACGTCAGTTAGCATATGACTCAATGATAGGTTGTATGTGCTAACAAGGTCATTGTATCGACCGTAAAACTTGCGAAATGATGACTTCAAACGAGACTGTTGATTTCCTTGATTCATCAACTTGTTTGTAGCTTGCCTCGTTTTAGGAATTGTTCATACGTAGAACATGCATATCGAATCAACTGAGAGACATAAACCTCATATGCAGGTGATAAGGGTATATTGCTTCAAGAGTAAGGGAAGTTGACGATTGAAAAGTTGAATCATCACGTTTATCATAAAGCTTTGTTGTTAGACTCTTTTCCTAGTAAAATATCTAAATATGAAACAGATTTGTTTCTGTATGAACAATTTCACTGACATCTAAAACATCACCGACCAGAGGGAAATGTGAAATTCATTCAATTTTTATCAAACTGTGAGTACATGGAAAAGTACTCACTACTGAGCAGAACAATGATGGAAATACAGGTAAATATTGGCAACCGTTTTATGCTAAGCGCTAACCGTGCCCATTTAAAAATCGCGGAAAAACGATATCGGAAAAAGAAGATAACGTGACATATAGTAAAAACCAGTCCAGGAAAAACAGTTTGAAGTTGTCGCGGAAAAGCAGACAGGTTGCGAAAATAAAATCGCAAAAAAGCAGGTCGGCAAAGATTATTGCGCTTTGATCGAGTTCTGTCTAAATCTAGATTGGAGAAAATGAGCAGAGTTTATTTGGATGTTGAAGAATTGTAATACTTTCCAGAGATATCGACCTTTGTTTATGATGATACATGCATGAATGCCAGGATAATTTCACTGTGTGTACATACGTAAATTTAAGACAACCGGCTTGAACCTATTTCTCTTCAAAATAATTATAAAAAGCAGATTTTTTCTCGAATTATTTTATTTTTGTCATGGTAAAAAAGTGAAAAAAGATCAACAAAACAAGAACAAGTCATATACGATCAGCGTACAATGTATAACATGAAATTAAAACACGTGATTCAACATTTCTCAAAAGACAATAATTAAGCTTATAAGGAGTATATGAACGACGTCCAATGCATCTGAATAATTAAAAAATTAAATCTTAAAATTTAACAAAAAATTATGTTCATCCAAGAATATGCTATCCAACACTGTCCTTTGTTTGGTCTGTTCCACTTCATTCACTTCCCAGCACATGGCACTTGGCATTCTTCGGGGGTGCGGGACTGTCGTAAACTTTCAAACGCTTGAACAGACTGACAAACTTTCCGATATCAATAAAGCCTTGGTCATCCGAGGCGGTTTTCAGGAAGAATTCGATTTCACGGGGATCTAATTTTCGCCCGGTGGCGGTTGTCATAAGTTCAAGTCCTTGTTTGGCTTCATCTTGGTCGAGTTTTCCGCTTCTGTCCACATCCAATTCATGGAATTTGTTCAACATTTCGGAAGCCCTGTAAAAAAGATTGCTTTGTTACTAGTGTGTGTCCTTTTCAAAATTAAATTATGAAACGTCATTTCTCTACAGGTAAAGTACAAATATTGATTTTTTTAAATGAAATTAGAAATTGCCGAGTTTTGATGAATTCAAGTATAAAATGAAATGTAAATTTAGTGATATACTCATGTGCATATACATACTCCTAGGTTTGGTTGCAGGCGATGAAGAACTACCGGTGAATTATACATACATACAGTGTATCTAGGGCCTTACTGCAGGATTTATTGATAAACGCAAACTTCTAGAAACCCACTGTATACCTCCCATTTCAACACTCACTGATAACAATTTGATAGCAGTTTTGATTAATTTTGATATATTGAAAAGAAAACCATGTGTTTCCTCTTGAATGAGTCGATTCATACTGATTACTTCAAATATCACGAAACAGTGCCACACTTGTTATCAGGGAGTAAAATTTGCAAATATTCCAATACACTCACCCATCTCTGGAAAAAATCAAAGAAAACACAAGAAATTAGAGAAGAAATCTAAGTTAAAGCGAATTATGTAATCAGTTAATTGGAGAGAAAAAATGCATACTTAAAGGAACCACACAAAAACACGTCAATATACTAATTAGTTAAATCATTCATAATATAAAGTATATATAAATTCACCACACACATCAGTTTACACTGCAATCGAACTTAAATTAGTTGTGAATTTTATTTAAAGACATGCGAGAGTAAATAAGGGATACATAAACATACCCATTCCCAACAGTTTCGTAGAATTGCTGGAATTCCCAGATACTCATGATGGAATTTTGATCTTTATCGAAGGTATCAAACATGCACTCTGCTTCTGCATCATTCAAGTTGAACTCTGTTTTCAGGAGCCTAATGGCGTCCGGTTTCTTCAAGCTTCTCACGTTCTGGTGCGCATATTTGTCAAAGATGAACTGTACTTCTTTTCTGAATGAATAAAATCATCAGAAATCATTATTGAAGTGTAAATATTGACAGTTTTTTTTTTATTAATTGTTTTGAAGTAAACAGCCTCGCTCGTGTATTTAATCTAACGATAGTTTTGCAACCTTATTGTGAAGGATTTTTGCAATATTTTTTTCCTAATAGTATTTCAAGACAATGGAATATTTTCTGATAAGGAGAATTCTTGCAAGGAAGTAATATTGCTCTGTATGAAGCTACATGTAAATGATATTTTAACCTTCAAAATTTTAAGTATCAGAATCTAATAAAATCCATTATCACAGCGATGATAAATTAGGTGCTGGCATTATCAACAAATGAACAGAACCTTGCCATTTGTTATTAAGAATTCTGGCTTGATAACAATACATGTACAATCAGTTTTTTCATCACCCCATGCCGTTAACTTGACTAGACACGTGTTTTTGATGTAGTGTCTGATACTTCCGAGTCTTCTCTGAGACTAACGCCAAAATTGTTCTCGATACCGGGAAGTATGTGCAAGCACTACATCAAGAGTGCAACTGTCATTGGCAATATACTTAATGGTACTAAACAATACTCTTGTCATTAAAAAAACATGTTTATATTACAAACTCATGTGTAAAGATTGCATGATAAAATAGACTTATAATGGATATAGAAACTAAGTAATGAAAAATATCTCCTGATCTGCTGATTAAAAGATAAAGCAACTTACGGGATTTTTCCTCTTCTCATCATAGCCATTTTGTAGAGTTTCTGGAATGTAGGTTTGAGCTGAAACGAATGACGTACGTAATGAAAACCACAGACGAGTTCAAAATTCTGAAGCTAGGAATCTGACGATGGGGATGAGTCTTTGATATCACTGACTAAGTAGCCGTATCAAAAGGAAAGAAAATTCCAAATAAATTCACGATCATCTGATTTCTTAACGGTGGATGAATTGGTGTTTAATGTAGTTAGTGAATATTTTTTAGGAAATGAATGAACAAAGAACATGCTGTTGCCAATATTAAGCTAGAAAATGGAAGAGTCCGCTAAATTTTAATTAAACACGTAAACTTTTAACATAAACCTAACCACGATAACAAAGCCTTCAAGTGGAATTCTAATTTTCACCGTCTTTTACAGAAGAGGGACTAAAAGAAAGGATCTTTGTTTCCTATGTTAAGAAGGTTGCGCAGTTGCAGCTAATTACATGTAGACTAAGAATGTACATGTATATTTCATTGGTGTGTTAGAAATTTTGAAGTTCTCGGCACAAAAATTATTGTACCTTTAACACTGTTTAAAACTGAGGAGGTTTTACAATAAGAACATACAATTTCTTTTTTTAAAAATCAAGATAATTTCTAAGATCTCCATTTTCACTAATAGATCCTATTTTAATTATTTCACCTCTGCATTAAAATTCCATTCCCTTGGTAAATCAAAAAGACATTTTGGTTATTACTAACACTCTCCACGCTATGAAGAGATATGAAAATTCTCTCAGTACTGATGGTAGGTGTTGATATATCAATATCTGGATTAATAAATCTTACCTTGTTAATATAACACAAGGCAGTAGTTTCTTGTCAGGCTTCCTCTCCCGCCGTGTATATATACCTCTCTCGGTATGGGTGCAGCGGAACTCCTCTACAGATTCTGGAAAGCTTCCGTCATCAGCAAAGCATACTTATTCTTTGTTTCGTAGACGTTCTATTTTTAGAGGGCGAATGAGTCAGTTTTCTAAATCAAGAAGGAGCTGTTTTGACAGAGAAATTTCTTTGTTTTTCCTTTAGTAAAATTGCAACGTTTTCACAGAATTTTCTATAAAAAAAAAATTTGATTTATGAAGATCTATTGAGAATTTTAAAAATTTTGTTTTGATTTATGTAGATCTATTGAGAATTTTTTATATTTTGTTTTTTATTTATGTAGATCTATTGTTTTGGTATGAATTATGTAGATCTATTGAGAATTTTTTTCCCGTAATTCACGTTTGATAAAAATGCAGTCTAAATTGAAAGTACGTATTTGGCTTCCTATGAAATGATCCTTAAAAATGTTTTATGAAATTTGTTTCTGTAGTGCACGCACATTTTATAATCTAAATAGGAAAGGATTCATGTATAGATATATTTATCATTATTGAACAGGTCTACCTGGGAGGCTAAATAAAGAAATATGAAAATTATATTCAATAAGCATTAAGAACTATCATGAATCAAAAAGAAGACTAGAACCCAGGTATGTCCCGAATCTCAAAGATACGTACTCCAGTAAAGGACATGAAACCAAAACAATAGAAAACCCGGTGTCTACAAAATTTTGAATTTTTCTTAGTTTATGTAGAAATTTAAAAATCGTAGTCTAATAATGAAACTAATCATTAGACTTTGCTTTAAAAAATTAAGATATTCTAATGATATTTCAAAATTCGACATCTCTATTTTTCTGTGAAGCATACGGTTATTGCAATTGTAAACATATTTGTAGAAAAAATGTTAAAATGTTAAACTATTTGCACGATTACAGCGTACGGGAAACTGTCAGTTATAAGTGATCAGATAGAAAGGACAAGGTCGCGCGAGCAGAACATGCAGAACCAATATTTCTTCTGATACAACTTTGATCTATATATATGTAATGATAGATTTTGTTTATAATACATACAAGACATTAACGTTGTATCTGTAAGGCGAAGATTGTTCGAAAAATTTCAATGAAATGAGTTCCTGTTGTTCAAAATGACTTGATTTATAAATTACTCGATTGGATTGAATGTTTAGGTTAGAAACTTTTATATGAAATATGTAGATAAAGAACCGTTTTCAAGCCCATAGTCCATCTAAATTATAAACAATACAAATCGGGAACAGTGAAAACACGGATTTTATTACATGTAATACACATTTACATATTTAAGTCGTTAAGAAGTTGAAATCTTCATCTTATACCTTTGAAAATGAAAATGTACACTGTCAGGTATACTTGGTGTGGAAAACATAATTATATATGCAGATAGAACTAAAAGATGGAGAACAAGCCTTATCAAAATTAGTTTATACTCCAATCAAATGATATGGTAGCAATTGTTTTGACAAAATGGAACTATTTTATCGAATATAATCGAAGACTAAAACTAGATTTGAAGTAAACATTACAGAAAGAAAATATAAATGATGAAATATTTTGCCCGATTGAAAAATGATAAAGTGTTTTTGAAGGGAACACCGAACTATACAGATAATCGGAAATCCAGAAAAAATAAACTTGCATCATATCTAGTCTTGAAAAACTTATTTATCCAATCAGGAGAGCAGCCTCTATCTGCCTTTTTATTCAGCAAAGTTTGAACTTTATGCAAAAAGACGCGCTAAAACCGGGTGATCGGCTGCAGAACCCGGTTGCTTTCAAAAGAAACAGATGCATAAAGCACCGTTAAAACACACGTTAATATCAACTCCGATTTATTAGGAGAGTGTTTCGCTATCAGAAACAGCTAGGTGTGTTTAGTATACACTGTAAAAATTGTGTTTAGGAAATAAACACTTCTGTTACATGTTTAGATCTAAACGTGTATAGTATTGTGTTTAACAACTAAACACTTATGTCTTAACATGTTTTATATCTAAACGCGTTTAGAAATTAAACACATTTCACTGTAAAGTGCAGAGTTATCTTCCCGGAAATGACACACATATATTTGAACGTTAATTTGAGCGGCTACCTGAACAAAGAAAACACAACAAGCTAAGGTGATGTATCAATGAGAGTTATGACAACCCAATTCAAGGGATAACCATGACGAAATAGTGAAATACGTGAAAGGGCATCTTGTTACTGCAATACATTAAAGGTTTGTTTTCTTCTTCTTTGCATTAATTAACCACGATGAGCAACGTAAATAAAGTTGACTTGGGATATCTTGAATTCGTTCATAGACTTGTAGGAGAGGAAATAATATTAAATGTCATTAAAAACATCTATATTTACAGTTTCACTAAAATTTGAACAATTTTGTTTTTCTAAGTAATGTAAAATACCAGTGATAGTGTACTTTTTCTAAATTCTGGCTTTCTTTCCTACAGGCACCTTACGTAGTCCAGACCGAACTCAAAATACACGTATCAGAGTACCTGGTGTCATCTTCAAGCGGAATGTTGTTGTTCCATAATCAACACTTTGAAACTTCATTTGTTGAAGACTACTGTGTTAATTCGACGGTGTTTACAATTATCCTCGTGCATTCGAAATGGATTACTTTCTGGCAGTTATTGATGGGATATAGATTGTAATATGTGGTGCTTTGGGACTTGCTGAAAGTTCATAAAATTTGATATTTTGTGATTGACATGAGGAAAACTCTGCAGCCGATTCAAATTATAATGATTATAATAAATATATATATATAAATATACATTTTGTATTTTTACTTTAACAATTCTTTAATAAAGCCTTTTAGAAAAATTCAATGAAGTTTTGATATTAAATTGTCAGCTTAATATTATTTTCTTAATAATTTTGAAGATGAAAAGTTTGTTATCTATGTGTACGTTATAAATTATGTGTCATTCTGATTGAATTGTTGAGACTAATCAAATCTATCCAATTTTATCTCCTACATTATTTGTGTAAATTAAGTACATGTACATCGCACAGTGTCCATTGCATTGTATAATTAAATACATATCCCAGCGTTCAGTGGCTTTATGGAAAATAATTAATATTGGTTACATATTTTGACAATTATGCGCATTTAAAAAACATATACTTTTTGTGCCTAAATTTACGAGAATGTTTTGTTTTTCTGCAGGTACAAATTAAACTTATGATGTGTTTAGATATTAAACACATCTGCTGTTATGTGTTTAGAATTTAAACACTTGTGTTTATGTGTTTAGATATGTTTAATTTCTAAGCACACAAGTGTTTAAATTCTAAACACTTTCTAAGACATGTTTAGGAATTTTACATGTTTAGAAATTAAACATATAAAAAAGGAGGTGACAAGAAAGTGTTTAGAAAAGTGTTTGAATTGTAAACACATTTTTTACAGTGTATACAAAGTAATTCTGCACAAAATATGACCCTTCTTCGGCTGGAGCTAAAAATAACTTAAGGTTTTGAGAGAGCTGCTCCGTGTTGAAGCTGAAGAGTGAGTTGTTCAATGTTGGATTTTCTTTTCGGTTTGGACAGGAAATAAAGCTTGGATATTGTCTGGACCTGTATCCAACAATGGTAGGTACCATGTTTTCCCGTTTAATCTCGATTTGATGAGGTTTCTTGATGACTGGATGGCTATCTTGTTTATGATTCTTTTGTGATGGCGTTGCATTCCTGTCCGCCATATCTTAGATGTCCCTTGTAATACAGATTTTGGTTCCATTGTTAATTTAGAAAAAAATAAACATAATACGCAGTACAAGTCATTTATTTTTTGATTGCTGGGGCTGTTGACTTTTTAACACATTGGTATATGTTCTTATAAATTATCGAGGGCATTTATGGCTTGTAAAGCATATTTTTGTCATCAAGATATTTATTTTAAACGCATATAAATTGCACATAATAAAAGTCAAAGAAGAACACCCAGAAGGCAGTTGATGATAAAAGAAATATATATTTGGATTCTGACTGCAAATATCTAAAAACAAAGTTACGCAACAAAGAAGTTTGACGAGCATTAGTCAGACAGCTTGTTATGTCTACGTCATCATCAACCGTGATCACATGGCCGAGTTATCCTGTGTCATTGTACTGTACGAAGTCGTATTTTTCCCTTCCCTGATTTGTTCTTAAAAGTCATCTTGCATTTTCATAAAACTCTATCAAAAAATGAATAAATGTTCATCGTCGTTCATTACTCTGGGGTGCAGTATATAGTATTGTGTTTCGTAAAATATTACACAAGGGTGCATTATAGTAGAATTGTGTTTCGTAATATACTACATATGAAAAACACTGGTAGGAGTCTTAAAAGATAAAAAGTCTTTCAACTGATAGTATTATTTCTTCTAAGCCGGTTGTTTGAGCTTGTTGAGAATGTTGTTAATTAACATCGCTGATACTAGTGGGTCGTCGATCTGTATATAATAAACAAAAGAACAGATGCCCGGCTAATCGCTGCCATTAGGTCTTCGATTATTCGTGATTTATTATTAACCTGAAAAAAGCAAACACCGAGGTACAATAGGATTGAATTTTTCATCAGCATGATTCCTTTTTTAGTTTATTAATTAATTGATGTGAAATTCATCGAAGATGTGATCATTTTCTTTAAGGAAAAAAAATCCAACCTACACCTACCAAAATATTAGCAATGTTTTATTAACCTTTATTTAACCTTTTATTACTGCTAACATGTTTTGAAGATTAAAAACATTTTATCCAGATTAACTTCGTAGTTGAACATGTGCCCTTTAAGAGTCTAATTGAATTTAGTAATTAATGATTCAATTTACTTTGACTGTTTAGAATTAAAGTTAACTTTGATTACAGAAACTCAAGAAAACAGAAAAAAAGCATTGAGTTCCATACCGTTTACTAGAAATTTCTATTTTTTTTCCAAATCTACTTAGACAGCTGTTTTAATTACTGTTTGCTTCCGAATTTAACCAGTTTAATGAAGATACAGTCATGATTTCTCGACGAAAAAGAAATATTTCTAATCCAAAATATAAGATAGGAGGCTAGAATTACGTCAACGTAGATTTATCCTGAAAGCACAAGATTTTGGTTGGCATAGACACAAAGCAGATCTCAGATCTGATAAATACATATAGAGTTATAGCTTGCTTTTCTTTCCACTTGGGTCAGACTATCTCATTATCTTAGGGCGCAGTTGTCATTTAACAAATATAATCTGATTTCTGTTTTGAAAATTCCAGGAGTTGTGAGAATGTATTTTCTTTCCTCCATGTATAGAATATGAAGTTAACGAAAAGTAATCAAGGTCAAAAGTCCATTGGAACAATACAAACTGGGAGCAGTGTAGCTTAGAAAAGAATGTTTATAATAAATATGCATGTAAAAAATAGATGTAAAGAAATTTTGCACGCTGTTTTGTATGATAAATAGAAGTAAAAATTAATGTATTGAGCCGTGCCAGAAAACCCTGAACATTTTTCCCTCTAACAAAAATAAGATTCTGCAGTAAGATTGTGATTTAACGACAACAAATATCAAACGAGGAAGAAACCTTATAGAATGCTTATTTTCAATGTGATTATATGTTGGGATACAAAATTTTTGTATTTATTTTAACAGGTTCGACCTTGGAAAAAAGCCACAAGAATAAAATAATCAACCATGTGACCTCGAATGAACGTTATCGTTTCCAAGAAAGCCCCGCTTTCATCAGCTTCTGCTTATTCCAAGTCAACTAACAAGCACAGCAAAAGAAGTCGCAAGCATCAGCGTTACAATGAGCGAAGAACAAGCACGAGTAGCAACAGCAGCTTCCACAATCCAAACAATGATAATAAACATTCTGTAAAGAAAAAGTCGCGACATCGAAAAAGTATGGGGACCTGCACTTCAAAGAAGAAACCGAAAGAAAATCAGGAAAATGTGGATACAGAAGACGTATGGAAGAAACGGACAGATGAACCTGTATCCGAAACGACCGAAACTGGTTTGTACAATTTTAGGAGAGAAGATCCACTGATAACGGAATTAAAGTCAGTTCTTCCGAGTAGGAATATATCCGAAAATGTAAATGTTCCGTCCAATACCAAAGGAATCAAAATGGCGGACGACTCTTCATCTGGTAGCCATGGATTTGTGACACCGTTGTCAACTCCACCAGTCAGAAGAGTCCAGCATCCAGTATTCAAGGTCACCACTCCTCCACCGTCCAGAAGAACTGTGGAACCTGATACAAATAAAATTTCGAGCCCCGTTCTTCGCCGAGTCAAGAAACAAAGTGAAGTAGCACCGCCATCCCCACCTCCGAGGTACAAAGAACTTTTTCAGACGGAATCTCCTCGATCAGATCCACCAGAAAAGAAAACAAATGAAGAGGCGCCCGAATTGCCTCCACGCAGAAATAGACTAGGGAGCAACAAACTTTCGAGCCCTAGTCTTTCTAGAAGAGCGGAAAATAAAAAAGAGTACCTGAATACATCTTTCAGTAAGCCACAGGAAGATCAAACCAATACGTTTGAATTAAAGAGTAATGAAAAACAAGTCATTTGTGAAAATTGTAATTCTCCAGTTTTATTAAGAAAAGATGATCGTGCCCCAACACCCCCTCCTCGAAATACGCAAGCTAAAGCTTCCCCGGAGTCTGCTCAACTTGGTTCACCTTCTGTCCGAAGAGCATATCCTGTGTTCAAAATTGACACTCCGCCATCAACAAGACGGATTATTGAGATGAGTAAGGAGACCACAGACACTAAATGTAATGAATTACCGAAGGAAATAAGTACCGATACGTCAACATCAATTCAACAATTAAAATCTGCTCAAATACAACATCTACCCTCAAAGGAAAATGATTTATGTAGGCCAATATACTCTACGATTTCAAAGCCAAAAGCAGCGGAAATCGCACCTTCTGAATCCCTTGTAAGAAGAAAAAATAATGAAACTGATGACGCGCTTGTGGTATGTGATGATTCCAAATATCTTGTGAGGAAAGAGAAAACTTTGTCAATGGAAATAGAAGAGGAAAACCTTCGTAATTATATGCGGGAACATGCAGGGAAATCATCGGCCACAATGAATGTGTTACCAGGCCCTGTTCTTGTGAAACAGGTTAAAATGCCATCACCCGTGAGAGCAGTGTTAACTGATGTTCCTCCACCAAGTCCGAATTCCCTTGACATACTAGAAGAAGAGGAAGATATAGAGAATGACTTGGATGAAGATAAACAGGACAGAAAAAGTAAAGAGATGGACCAGTTCAATGATAGTGTGTGTCAGAGACTTTCTCAGCTCCTAGAAACAAAAGAGGTCATAATGCATGATAAAGACTTTGAAGAAACTGACAATAGTGCCATCCTGAAAGATAATTTAGTTGATTTCGCTAATGACACACCACAAGTTGATAAGGAAGACACAGAAATACCAATCGAAACGGTTCCACCACCTCCAGAATATTTTGACGATTTCTCTTTAGATCTCATGAACAACAGTAATCAGGGAATGAATGCAAGTGAGGACGTAAGTGAGAAAAAGGAGGATGTTGAGTGTTTATCAAAGGATCAAAGTGTTCCACTCTTAAATACAAATTCCATCAAACAAAATATTACACCACAAAATAAATTCAATTATAAAGACTATTGTCAGAATAAAAAGCAAACAAGCAAAGGTATTCAGGAGAAAATTAACCTGATAAGTGAGTCGGCTGCTTCATCAAGTCGTGAAGATCCAGATGGAATATCGGATAAAGTTGTGATCGAGGAAAGCATTGTTCCTATTTCAATTAAACGAAGGAGCTACGAACCTTATGCTGAAGAAAGACAATCTGAACTTTTGTGTGACGTAATTCAGTCCTATGCAAAGTCTGAGGAATCCGATATAGAGAAAATTATGGACGAACCTGTCGTTAGTAAGAGTTCGGTCAACCTAGAAGAAAAGAAAAAGAAATCAACTTCTCTTGACAGGAAACCTTCAAAGCTTGACCAGTCACTGAAAAAGCTGTTTGAAGTTCCCGTTAAAGAAGATACTTACGACAAGCTTCTTCCTTTAGAGTCTTTCCTAGATGATGTTATAGATCAACCGTTACAATCAGAAGGAACACTTCCTTTTGATCCGTATGATTTGGATGAAAGGTTAAGAAATAGAAGAGTCCTAGGTGGGCGGCATTCTGTCACAAGAACAGAATCTGACATTGATATATCAGAGCCAGGCGATGATTGGAGAGATGATATTAGTTCTGACAGTAATCAGGCTGATGATGAGGATGAAGTGGAAAGTGGGGAGGTAGTTTTCAGCAAATCTTTCCCGGATACTCGAAGATATTCGGAAAAACGGCAGGGACGGGACATTAAATATGACGCTTCTGTTCAACACGGAACATTCCAGGATGAAAATGTGGATAATGATTTTTCAGATGAGGAGTACGATGATGTTGAAGATTATGAAATTGATGACGCAGCTGAAGACGAGGACTTGTGGATGAATGAAAAAGATCTGGAAAAACGTGATTTGGAACCAGTGGTGTTTGGAGCTGATTATTATCCAATGGAACATCCTAGAGATGCGGGTGACGTGGCATACAGCAGTGCCAGACGACAGATGCATGAAATCCATTCACATTTGTTAAACTTGAGAGATCAAATGGAGTATCTGGCAGATGAGTCGGAGAATTCCAATTTAAAACCAAGTAGATGCAGTGGAATTTCTTCAGGAGAAAAACATTGACTTCTTTATTCTAGTTTTTAAAGATAATGTTACATCTAGGATATGATCTAATATGTTTAGATTTCTGAGTTTTTTTCACATGTATGTAAATTTTGTTTTATAAGATTTAACATGCGTAAATGACAAATAGGCTTTTGCTACTTTTTACTGAAACTGCTCACATGCTTCTGTTTTTACTACATTAGATGTTAATGAATGATAAGCATTAACACTTTTAGTTTAGAAACATAACATGCTAGGCCTGTTTTTATAAAAAAAAAAAAAAATATTTGTATCATTTTTTTTAGAAAAAAAAGTTGTATGAAAACGAATTTTCTGCAAAGAAAAGATTAAAATCGGAAGCCTCAAGTTGAACATAAATTGAAATAAAACATTGCAAAAAATTGCAAAACTAGCAGTGTATATTTGTATTTTATTGTATGTTTAAATATAATTCAAAATTTATGCTAATTGTTCATTGATCGGTAATTGCAGTTAAGTATCTCATTTAGAAGTCCCTTAGAAATTTACACAGTAAACTCAGAACCATCATCTCTTTTATTCCTTCGAGTAGATGTAGAGATTAAATCCGCAATATTGCATATTTTTAGCTCTACTGGTCAGAGACCAATTTTTCAAATTGCTACTCCTCCTACAGTTTTGGTCTGATTTCAATATAACTTGGCACAAAAGTAAACTATACTAAGATACATAATTCTGTTCATCACTTTTTTATTTCCTTGAACAGTGTTGCCATGGTTACTAAAAATAGAAATTTCTGTGAAATACTTTCAAAACGCTACTCCACCTACAGTTTTGGTATGATTTTAATAGAACTTGGCACGCAAGTAGACTACTCTAAGATATATAAATCTGTATATCAGTTTTTGATTTTTTGTGAAATGTGTTGCCATGGTTACTAAAAATAGAAATTTCTGTGAAATACTTTCAAAATATTAATGCTAGTCCTCCTACAGTTTTGGTCTGGTTTCAATATATATAACTTGGCACACAAGCAGACTACACTAGGATACATAATTCCATTTATCAGTTTTTGATTTCGATAAACGATTTAATACCATGGTCTGTGAAATACTTTCAAAATGCTACTCCTCCTACAGTTTTAGATTGATTTCAATATAACCTAGCCCACAAGTTGACTACTTTAATTCTATATATAAATATAGACATATAATTCTGTATATAAGTTTTTGACTGATGAACGATATCACCATGATCACTAAAAATAGAAATTTCTGTAAAATTCCTTCAAAAGGCTTCCGTCGGATGGGACTTTAAATGGTGCCCCGTGTCAAGGATTACAACCCCCTTGGCACGCAAAAGATCGTTTTTCTGGTTTTCGAAAAAGAGTAGGCTCACTGGGGGCCGCCAGAGAAACCCAAAACTTTCAAAACTGGTCACATGACATAACTTTTTATCGCCGGTATATGGCTGAAATAGTGCCGATTCGGCGTAAAACATTAATTAATCAATCAATCAATCAAAAGGCTTCTCATTCAGTTTTAATCTGACTGCAATAAATCCTGCCACAAAAAGAGACTAAACCAAGCATCATTATTCTATTTATCGCTGTTGCAAAGCTTCAGGTCCAAGTGCTACTTCACCCCCTCCTTCGTTCTACGGGCCTGTTTGAATGTGTTTATCGGAATTCGTTCATTACACGAGCAATATTGGTAAACAAGAATGTTACTTCTATTTTTACATAGAAAAGACATCGAATGGCAGCATGAGACAGCGTTTCAACGAACAGATGAAACTTGCCGGAAGACCCAGCTTTTGTATCATTTGAAACTTCTTTTTTTTTAGGTCACTTGAGTCAGGTGACCTGTTGTTAACGTTTTTGTCCGTCGTCGTGTTTCGTCGTACGTGTGCCTTAACATTTGAACATTTTCAACTTCTCCTTTGGAACCGCTGAAAGAATTTTGTCATGGAACATCTATGAATAAAGGGGAACAAACACTGTGAATTTCAATGTCTCTGGCCCCTCCACCATTGGAACCTGTGGGGTTGGGCTAAAACCATCAGAATTAATGTAATCTTTAATAAACTTCTTTACTCCTGGACATCAAGCAGTTGAACTGTCGCCATGGTTGTAATAAGCATGAACCCTCTACCAAAATTGTGACATTTATGGCCCCAGGGTAAGAGGTTCTGGAGTTAGGGAGTTAGGAGTTAGGCTCAATAGTGAAAATGCTGAAATTCTTAAATAGTGCCTATTCCAAAATTGTGAAATTTGTGTCCCCAGGGTCAGAGCTGTTCTGGGGAAGGGGGGGGGGCTTTAATTATATAGTGAAAATGCATATTTCTTTAAAAATCTTCTTCTGTGGTCTTGGGTATTAAGCAAACAAAAAAGTATATAGTTATATATAGTTATAACGAGCAAGGGTGCCTCTTCCTAAATTGTGTATTTAATTACCCTTGGGTTGGAGGTTCTGGTGTTAGGGTGGAGCTCTAATGATTATATAGTGAAATGCATTAATTCTTTGAAAATCTCCGCTCCTGGGTTATAAGGTAAAAAAAGTGCATGGTTATGATGAGCAAGGATGCCAAAATTCTGAATTTCACAACCCCTTGGTGAGGTTTTTTTGAATGGGGGGGGGGGCTCTATGGATTATATAGTGAAAATGCATTATTTATTTGAAATCTCAGATCCTGGGTAATAAGGTAAAAAAATAAGTGCATGGTTATAATAAGTAAGGATGTCTCTTCCAAAATTAGCAGGGGTTCTGTTGTAAGGGCTTTATGGATTATATAGTGAAAACGTATTAATACTTTTAAAATCTGCTTCTCTGCTTTTTTGGGGGGTATTAAGTAGATAAACTTAACGCATGGCTGTTGTGAGGAAATGTGATTCTTCCAAAATTGAGAATTTCTTGGCATGTGTAAGGGGTTCTGAAGTCAGGGCAGGCTCCATAGATCAGATGGTGAAATAATAAATTCTTTAAATATCTTCTCTGTCCATTTGCATTTAACAGACAAACCAGTTGCATGGAAATGATGAACATGGATGTGCCTATTCTAAATTATGATATTCATATCCCCTGGGTTAAGTTTTTTGTGTTAGGGTGGGGCTCTGTTGAATAATAGTGAAAATGTATTATTTCTTTCGAAATATTCTTCTCTGTTCCTGGGTATTAAGCAAACATACTAAATGCGTGGTTATAATATGCCAGGGTGCTTCTTCCAAAATTATAATTATCTGATCTATAGATCAGATGGTGAAATCATGTATTCTTTAAATATCTTCTCTGCCCATTGGTATTTAGCAGAGAAACCAGTTGAATGGTAACGATGAGAAAGGGTGCCTCTTCCAAGTTATGAAATTCATAGCCCCTGGGTCAGGGTTTCTGGTGTTAGGATGGGCATCTATTAACTATATAGTGAAATTGCATTAATTCTTTGAAAATCTTTTCTGCTCCTAGGTATTTAGCAGATAAACTAAGTACATAGTAATAATGAGCAAGTGTGCTATATTAAAAAAATTGAGAATTTCGTGTCCCCTGGATCAGGGATTTTGGTGTAAGGTGAGGCTTTGTTGAATCTATAATGAAAATGCATTCCTTCCTTGAAAATCTGCACTGCTAGGCAAACAAAGTGCAAAGTTGAAATAAGCAAGTGTATTTTTCTACATTGGGGCAAAATTCTGGACCACTTGGTCAACTGTTCTGATTCTGAGCAGGACTTTGTAGTCTACTGGTAGAAATTATTTCTCTTTGCTATTCACCTGTGATTATTAATCATTGTTGGTAATGTAATTGAAAGGTCAATTGAATGAGAGATTTATACAAGAATTTCATAATATATCATATAAAAGCACTTTCATAGTTTTTAAGGATGTTTGTGAATAATAGAAAAATAAAAATGAGACAAAATACCTTATCTTTATACATAAACTGTTCTTTAAATACCAAGAAAGGTCAGGGGAGATGAGATAGGTTTACTAATAGTGCTCAAACACTACTGTTTTTTTTAGCTTACATGGTGATAGTAGTGATTGATTGATTGATTGTATATTGTTTTACGTCCCATTCGAGAATTTTTCACTCATATAGAGACGTCACCATATACCGGTGAAGGGCTTCAAATTTTGAACTTTACTCGGCACTCAGGGCCATTGAGCAGTGAGGGATCTTTATCGTGCCAACGCCTGCCGTGACACGGGGCCTCGGTTTTTAAGGTCTCATCCGAAAGACCCGCAACTTTCACTTCAAAGTGCCGAGCGCATGGCGAAGGAACAGTTGCTACCTATTTTTTATCGACTTAGGTCTGTCGCGGCCGAGATTCGAACTCACGACCTCCCGATCACGAAGTGAGCGCTCTACCGACTGAGCTACCGTGAACGGTGTGATAGTAGTGAAGGCAAGTAAATATATCTATTTTAAGATTTTATATGGAGTACTAAACTAATTTTTTGTTGACCTTTGATCATTTTTTTCTTGGGCAACATACCTTCATTTAAGTTTACTTTACTTTTACTTTCCGTTAAGCCGACTGTTCTAATTATAAATTCAACCATTTTTTTCTAAAAAAAAAAAATTTCTTCTGCAAGTCTGAAAATTCCGAATAAGATGACTTACAATCTGAAGTGAAACCATTGGCAATACATATTTAATTTATTTTCGGCATACTTATTGTTCGAATCATTCAATATTGTCACTAAGGTAAATGATATGGTGTCAAATCATGGCTGACGCAAAATAATTCCTGAATCTTCCCTTCCGATTCGGGAATTTTAACACGAGACTGGAGCTGAAATTTTTTTTGAGATGAAAAACAATATGTAAACTTCCTGTATTGAGTAGATTCATTATAATTTAGGGCGTGCTGATTTTTCTATATACTGTATTTGAGTGGGGAGTGATTAGATCCTGGACTTGATTTTCAAGCACCTGCTCGACTTCGACCGAAACAAACTTGCGTGCCTTGCTGGATGGCTGTGTATTTTTTGGTACTAAAATCTTTATAAAGAATTGTTTTACAAGATCTGAAAAGGAAACTTCTCAAAAGTTTGTTTTCAATTAATACCACCTACTCAAAGTTGCGCATTTTTGGTAAGAATATATAGCAAAATTTAATATTGTTGTGCAACCTTATGTTATGCCCCGAAAATGACGCGAGATTTAGAGCTTTTTTGATTTTTCGCAAAAAGAGTGGAAGTTAAGTTAGATAACTCGAGGTGAACGAGATACTAAGTATTCGAACTGATGATATCACATATTTGCATTTCTTACATCATTAAATAATGAATGCTCCCTTCCTCAAGACGGTCTACCTTCAATGCAAAGTAAAGGGCAGAATTTTTAAAAAGCTTTCAAAGAGCAATTTTATTTTACTTCCTATTTATTAAATAAATTCAAATTGATGAAATTAATTTCATAACTCTTAAACAAATTAAAAAAAAAATATAAAAGTTTCTCTGAACTTTTTGAACTTAATTTTAGCCA